ATCTCGAGAAATTAGCTCCCGAATTATACCGGCTCTTAGGCCCTCGGCGTTTTGAAAATTCTCTCTCCTTTACTCAATGGCGTACAACGACCAGGGTATGTTGGAGTGTTGCAGGAGAATGGTAGTATCCAACAAACCGAAGGCAACTGCTCTCGAAGCGAATTCCCCTCCCTCTGGGGCATGCTGATGGCAATAAGATGATCAGGGCCCGTCTTTCTTCTCTTCTCTCGAACGTAGGAGTTGGGAAAGAGAGTGGGATTTTTTAATTCTATTTTGAGAATCTGTGTAGGACATGTTACAAATTCTACTAATAATCAACACGATGTGGTGACATTTTAATGGTGTGTTCTCAAGGCATTACGCGGTTATATGGGCCTCTTAAACTGCACCCCCAAGAATAAATACCAGCTGTCTCAGGGGACATAGCCTGTGAGGGCGGGAGTAGAAGATGTCTCCATCCTTGACGAAATATGCCTCTCTAACGACCATCCATAAATCGCTGTACGCCTTCTCCCACGACTCATTGCTATCCTGATCATGAAAAAGAACATGCAAAATGCTAGAATAGTGAGACCACCCAGGTGTATTTTTACCCCACCAAGCCCCGCCATCTACCAATGGGCAACCACCTCCCAACTACCTCTCTCTCTATTCCTTCAGTCACGACACCCAACGCTGTTCAACCGTTAGGTTGGCAAAAAAAAAAAAAAAAAAAAAAAAAAAAAAAAAAAAAAAAAAAAAAGGAAGCATGTGTCAAAAAAGCCCAAACCATCACCTCCAAATCAACAACAAAACAAGGAAAAGATGAAGCCTGACTTGAACCATGATCCCAGCTTTGTCCTACTTCTTCTTCTTTATCACTGTCAGCAAACGGACCAGGCCAAATGGCACGCAGGATGCCAAGTTCGGCTAGATTAAATTATGCACCACGGCCCGTCCCTGGTCCCCCGCGTCCCCTGTCCGCCCCGCACCAGTCCCACTCACTCATCATCACAACCTGACCAGCTTGCATAGTTGTTGTTGTTGTTGCTGCTTATTGTTTGCAGGATTTGTTTGTACCTGTCCCTCGTCGCGTCTTTTGTTTTCTCTGTCCGGGCGAGCGGGCCTATGATAAGGCAATGATTAGGTTATGTTATTCTGTTTTACATGATTTGATAGGATTGATAGGATTGAAGGGTGGGGGGGGCGGGGGTGTTGATTGTTCAGGCTCGCACGGACGGTGAGCGAGGGGTGGTGGGAAGTGGGATGAGAACCACCGAAGGAGGAAACATGAAATCAGAGCCAATACTTAATCAGGGTAGTAGTGAGTTTTTTATCTCTGGCTTTTGATTGGTTTTTTTTTTTTTTTTTTTTTTTTTTTTTTTGGCCATGCCGCAATTTTGATCCATTGATGCCTTACTTACGCTTTCTAGCCTCATTGCCTGAGTTGTTACAAGGGGTTGGAATGGCTGGGTTTGTGTTGCTTGAAAGTGGTTTAGTTTGATGCAAGGGAAATCTTTAGCCCGTGATCGGTGGAAGGTGCAGAATCTCGTTAGACGTTCCAATTACCCATTTACTTTTTCTCACAGGCCAGAATTGAGCGTGGGTAGTTAACTTAATTAATAAAGTTAACTTAAAACTTGGAAGAGTGGAACGAGAGAGGTACAGGCAGGGCCTGCAGATGAGATGCATGTAATGTATGTCATTCGCTTACACCGGAGTGGAAGGAGGCGGTGACTGCCTCAGGCTAGAAAATGTCAGGAATTAATCAACCTTTTTTTACTTCTCATGTTCCGAGGCGCCGTGGAGTCGCCACAGAAATGTATTGGCTATCAGTTCTTCTCGGTCCTTTACATTTATTTGCATGATTGGGCTTTTGAAATTGTTTGTCTGGTGCGTTTTGTTTTTGTTTTTGTTTCACTTCACGCCCGTCGAGTAAATTGTTTTGTATCATGTCTTTTTTTGGTCCTTTTTACTCGAGGATAGATTAGTTCTGTGAAATATTTTAATTCAAAACACTGCGCCTGTGACTTTTATTTTGAGAGTTGATTTCTTTTTTTTTTTTTCTTTTTTTTTTTCTTTCGGTCTATTTCTTCCGCCGTGGCGGGGCTGAGAGAGAGAGGCTGGTGAGGCGACTCTTCATGGCGAGAAGCAACTGAAAATAACTGGCTTAAACCCGTGGACTAGGTAGGTATCAATGACATCATAAGGGGGTAGCCAGATGAAACGAGAATACAGCAAAGGTACTTCTATGCAGGGTACCCGATACGGCGGTTGACCATGCCTATTCTGTTGCAGTTGGGCTCCCTAGGTGAACTCCACTTGATGTGATGTTGAGAAGGGGTGTTCCACCCAATTTCATGCTGTTCGCTAACTTTTGTTCATGCACGGGATGTTGATTGTACTCACGGCTTTTTCATCATCATCATCATCATGTATGTATATACATTGTACATGTATGTACATACATACTAACAACTCTCAATTATATCGTCCGCCGATCATCCACCCGAGGAAAGCAGGGTGAACTACAGCGTATGGATGAAGTATATTGGCTTTGAAGATAAACCACCGATAAGCACAGACAGGCGCCAAATGGGGCCCGAGGAACCAGGTAGTTGGCTCCATCAGGTCTGGTCCCTTATAAGTTATAAAGGAGGTAACTTAAAGTAGACCGACAGTTTGACTCACTGTTTGAGCGACGACGGTGTGGGACCATTCTCCGTATCTCCGGGTATTTGCTTGAAAAGATCCGTCCGGAGACTTGGGCGTACCTGAAGGTACAGCGTAATACATACATACTTGATTGGGGGCTCGACGATCCTGAGAGAGAGAGAGAGAGAGAGAGAGAGCGGTGGGTGGGGTGTCAAAAGAAAAAGAGGCGTGTATACATACCCCTTCCCTCGGTATGGAATTACACCACCAGACCGAACTCGGTAAATAACTAAATAATATATATCTAGATATATACAGAGAGCCACAATTTCCCGCCCCTTTCGAGGGTTTAACCAGTAGGATCCATGAGGATGTCTGTTCATAAAGAAAAAGGAAGATCGGATAAAAAGGCAAGGCGGTATCATTTATCTATCTAGATCTCCTTAGCGGCCAAGGTCTCGGATGTCTGAGATGTGAGGCGTTCAGGCCGAAATGGATTCCCTCTCTCCCTCGCATTTACCTCGCCTCAGCCCGGTCATCGGCCCTTCATTATGATTGATGAGGTAGGGCTGTTCTTTTGGGTGGACTTCTGGGTCTTTGGGTGCGATCCGACTGGACTAGATCGTAGCTAGATGATAGTTAGACGATTGGTTGTTTGTTTTATCCAGTGACCAAGCAGAGGTCATGAATAATAATAATAATGGAGAGAGAAGCTTGGGAATGAATTCGATTGTTCAACTAGTTTGCTGAGTAAAGTATCGGGGTGCCTAGGCACCGCACTTGTAATATCTAACGTGAAGAAGAGTGGCAGGTGAGGTGGGGGGAAGAGAATAGGTTTATGTATTGGGATGAAGGGGCGTAGTTAGTAGTTAACTTATTAATTCATCACTCTTTTCTTTTCCGTCTTGTTTGTTATTTTCTTTTTCTTGCTTCCCCCGCACTTGGTTCAGATCTGGGTTGTAGATCGGGTCTTTGCTTTCCCACGCCTTTCTTTCCCTACTAGAGAAATAGAAATGTGAAGAGAGAGGATAGAGTCCATAATCCATCGGGAACTAGGCATCTGCCTTTTACATGGGACGATGGGGGAGAATAATGTACAGGAGATCGCGCGGTAGGGTGGAAGGGGGAGGAGACACGAGAAATAGTCACAAGGCAACACACATACTTCTTACGCTGCGTATATGGACAGGAACTCGGGTCCTTATGATCGTAAGACATGGAGGTGTTTAGTTGTGCTGGAAATATCAGCTAATAGGGAGTAAGACTGAAAGGGATCGTGATGACGGAGGCGTAGGCATTAGGAAAGGGGATTCCGCCTTGTGAAGCTACTCCATAGACCTATAAGCCGTGAAATAGATATTTGAAACAAGGAGGAAGAGGAGAGAACAAATGGGCCCTGGTGATGCCAGGGCGAAAACGGAGCGGCTTCGGTGATTAGATTTACCAGTAAATGCCAGAAGAATATGGAGGAGTGAGTAGAGAGTGATGCAGATTCTCAGGATAGAGATATCTGTTGCTGTTGTGATGGCAGCGACAGAAATCAGCGGGTGAGGTCACCACATTCCATCCATTCCAGGCAATATGAACATGAACATGAACATGAACATGGCTAGTTACTTACTGACTGACCCGCCAACCACCACGCCGCCGCATTCTACACAAGACAAACAGAGAAGAAGCCCGGAGACATTCTGGGGGGGGGGGGAAATAGTATTCCGGCTTGTTGACAGTTGACAGTTGCCCTGTGCTGCTGGAAATGAAGAAAGATTATTTTTACTTTTTTCATCCCACAACAACCAACCATCTCGCAAAATAGTGTTGATGGCTTTTCCACGACGCATTAAAAAATTAATAAGGGTGCCGAGGGCATGGTACGTGCATATTATTGTTCAATAATAATAATAATGTCCCAAGTACTCCATATAAGTAAGTACCTTCAGTAAGTCCTGAGATGTGTATCGGACTTACTGATGCAGAATAAGGATGGGAAATGAGAATAAGGACTGAGAGGTTCGATCATACCATCCATACCATACGATACGGTGGTGTGTTGTTGCCAGTCTGACATGACATCAGGACAAAAAAGGCACACACACATGTACACACATACATACAGACATAACTACATTATTATTATTATTATTATTATTATTACATGACAAGGGAACGCGAGAGAGCAGCAAGCATAAGACGAGCGAAACCAGAGAGGAAAGCCAGGAGTCCATCTTTTAGCTCCAGGCTTGAAATACAACTGACTGACTTGACTGGAACCTTTTTTTTTTATTTATTTAATAATTTCTGGCGCTGGAGTTCGTGGCAGCCACTCAACTCAGCGAGCCGGGTCCGCGTCCCCTGGCGCTGGATGCATGCTTGTTCAGGTCAGGGTCAGGTAAGTTTAACTAACTATTTAATAACTATTATTATTGCTCTGGCAGGCCAGTTGCAAGCAAGTCTCAAGATGCACGTCTACCCAATCCCAGGCAGAGCGACCAATCGTTTCCACGCGAAGAGCTCGAGATGGACGATAAGGCGTCGCCTTACTTTTTGGATCCCACACACGCCTATGCAGCATTTATTTTATGCTGGGGATCCATCCCATCCCTTATTAGACCCCGCGACCAACCTATCTTCACTGGAACCATTCATCGGTCCTTGGGAACCAGAACAAACCACAGAACGTTCTGACAGGAATGTCTGTCTGGTCTTGTATTTTTTTGGCGGACTATCCGGTTCATCAGAAAAGGAAATAAATTAAAAAATTAAAAAATTAAAAAAAAAAAAAAATCAACAAAAATAAAGGGACCAAAGCGACATGGGCCTTGAGTTACGTACGAGCTTTGATTTGATGATGGCTCTGACATGAATGTTGCCCTCTCGAATGGATGATTTTATTTTTCTGGTTCTCTCTGCCTATGCCTGAATTCTGATATGATACGTCGGGCTCAAGCATGCTCGATCATCGTTAAGGAATAGGCTTCTTCTCAAACCGATCCTTGACCGACTGGACGGGGAGAGAGGAAAGCTAGTGTTTTAGAGGATCTGCCCGCAGCCAGCAGGAATAACTAATAATGGAGTTCCCCCTGCGAACAAAAGTAGCGGCCTTAAAACCCGAACGGATTTTGGGGAAATATTATCCTCAGAGAAAGGAGCTGGAGAAGATTTTTTTTTTTATATTTATTATACCTACCCTCCTCCTCATGATCTTGTCTTTTCTTCAATCAAATTCTCCCTCTTCAACTATATCTTCCTGCACAGACAGCTGCAGACCGCTAACTATATTATCTCCTACACCTACATATATTAGCATCAACCCGCCCTCGAACTCCTCATCCTCACTCTATATTATCTCTATTATACTATTGTTATTATTATTATCATCTTCCTTTTATTGTCTGATCGGCTGTTGAACCGGTTTGACAATTAATTTGTTGATAATACTAAAATACCATATAGCAGCACCGCAACCACCGCACCTCCCCGCACTGCACTGCTTGATCTCTCCCTCCTCCATCCAGGTCACACACACATAACTACACACTACTTAACTACTTAACTAGTTAACTACCGCTTCCCTTCCCTTCCCTTCCCTAGTTATATCTGCTGCTTATCCTCCCAACCCAACCCAACCACACCGCCTCTTCTATTCCTCACAATCCCAACCACTTTTTCTTCCACACAAACAAACGTCTTTCCTCCCTCTTCTCCTCGAACTTCATCCCTTCTCGAAGAGGTCTTCTATTCGCAGCCTCTCTTCTTTATTTTGTCCTCATAACGACCTTTTACGACTTTTAACGACCCTGTTTTATTAACGCCGTGCTACTACTATTGTTTCTACCCCTCCTCCCCACTCTATTATTCTCCCCATCTCTCTTCATATACATCCACCTCCACAACCATGACGAGATATCAGGCTTCGTCGACATTCGAGTTCTATCACCAGTCACCCGCTCTCGATGCGAAACCTGTATTTTCCGGGGACGATGAGATGAGCGTCCTGGATGATAAAATTCTCGAATCCTCCACTTCAGATATCCCCTCCATGAACGACCCAAGACGGTCGTCCTTCGATCACACTTCAGAGGACTTCTCCCGAAGAAATTCAGTCTGGTCAGAATCCCAATCGCGGCATGCCTCTCAAATGTCTACTCCCCTCTTTGAGCCCGTAAACCCCTTTGCCCGAGTAGACACCTCACACCCAACCAGCTACGGCCAGCAACAACCATGGCCTCTCTCTGCCGATTCTGGTTCATGTACGCCCACCCCAATCTACGAACAATTCCCCCAGGACTACGATGGGAACTCCACCAACCCTTTTGCTGGTGGCGCAGTTGGTCCTATTAACCCCATGTCCTTCTCCCATATGCAATATCGACCTGGGTCGACTTTCCCCGGCTCTTCTGCCACCCCAATGTCTCCCCAGTCCAGTCAGGGCTGGGTATCAGGGACGTCAGAGGCTACCGAGGCACGCTCAAAACCTAGTCGGAATAGCACATACCGGAATGGATCTCCGCTGCATTTGCGGAGAGACGGCATCCGGAAGAAGAACGCTCGTTTTGACATTCCCGCTGAGAGAACTCTCAGCAACATTGATCTGTTGATTAGTCAATGTACCGATGAGGATGAGATCAAAGAGTTGAAACAGCAAAAACGTCTGCTGAGAAACCGACAGGCAGCGTATGGACTCCTCCCTTTCCCTCTCACTCATTGTTCCCGTCTTATCCATCCATAGGCGGGATAATGTAATTCTTCCAACCCTAACAGAACGGAATCTCAGACTGACATTGTTATAGACTTGACTCCCGCCAACGGAAAAAGGTGCATACTGAACAGCTCGAGGAAGACAAGAAACGGTCTTCCACTCTTATCAACGAACTCGAAGAAGCTCTTCGGGAGATGAAACTCCGGGAGCAAGAGTACCATCGGGAAAAAGCGGAACTGTTCGAGCGTGAGCAGCAGTTGCGCACATATATTAACCAGCTCCACATGGAGAAGGAAGAGATGATTCGGTCCCACACACTTGAAACTGGTGAACTTCGCAAGAAAAACGCAATTCTTCGAGAACATCTGGAGAAAGTGGAGCTTGGTGCCCAGCCGGCTCCGAACTCGGCATTCCGGAACGAATTCTCTGATTACGAGAACATCACAATGGAGAATGCTCCTTGGGATGACTTCTCGATGGTGAACGAGTTCTCTCTTAACACCGAAAACCATGGTCTCATTCGCACGCCTACCCCTGTGCCTGACAACACTGTGCTTGTGACTTCCAAAAAGTCCGAGAAATCCTTGGACAAGCCCCCAGGCCATACCGATTCCTCTCCTTTCAGCTGGAACACATTTTATATGTGTTTACTTTTTGGTGCTTTTATTGCATCAAACAACAGCTCCATCTCACCCGCTCTTCCAGCCCTCTCCGAGGAGTACCGTGCGGAATCGGCAAACGTCTTGAGAGCTGTCCTCGCATCTGCTGATTCGTCCGATGCCGCTAATGCCCTCAACCCCGGGGCCCTTCCTGGCACATCCTCCTCCATCACTGCCAACCTTCCCACCACCATTACTGGGGCGGAAATGGCACAGATTACTGGCGGAGGGCCCTCTACATCAAATCTTGACGACTTGCATCGCAACCTTGTCGCCCCTACTAAGCAACAAGAGGAGGAACAAGTATTCTCTCTCACCACAGAGAGGTATAGGTCACTCACCACCTTGGAAGACGACGGAGGGGACTTCAAACCTCCTCCATCGAATTTCCAGCAAGCCTATGCAAATATGCGCAATGCTGGCATGCAGCATACGAAAAACGTTCCGGACATCTATTCACGGTCCCTATTGTGGGACAGGGTGCCAGAAAAGGTGGTTCAAGATTTTAGGAGGATGGTGAAGGAATGCAGCGCTTCCACCCCTATCAAGGATGAACAGGCCGGAGCCGTTTGCCAGTCATAATATCTTAAGGTACAAGACCTTGCATTCATTCCTTGCTGTGTCTCTTTCCCATGACGAATAGCAACGGACTTACCGTACGATGCCTTGAAGCATCCTACTCCGCTTGACGCGACCCGAAACAATTTCATTTGTTTTGACGGATTTCTGCCACTCTAAGTTCGACATGCATGTGTTTTTACCATCTAGCGGGTTCATGAACAGCATTTTGCAAGCAGGCCTTATGTTTGATTTTGATTTTTTGGTTGTTTTTTGTATCTATCCTCTCCGGTGATTTTCTCTGAGCAAAACGGCCAAAATGGGTTGGGAAAGCGCGCATATTTCGAAACAAATTTTCTCTTTCAATCTCTTCTTCTCTGAAACGACACCTACAGCACTAGATGCGACCGCAAGGCGAAAATTCAGGGGCGACTCATTTTCAGTTTTTTGCTTGCCTGATTTACCTCCACGTGGGCGACCATAACGAAACCAAACTAAACTACAGACGACATACCGTTCACACGGGCGGCAACAGACGACGAACGAACGCGGCACTTCTGCATATTTCCTATGTACGCCCTGCATGTTACAATCCAACTATATACACTGCACCTTGCAATCTCCTTTGTCCCAATCGCACTTTCTTCTTATTTTGCGTCTTTGCAAAGACGTGTCCGTCCAACACGGCAGAATATTCCTTCAACCCAGAAAAAACAACAGCATGCACCAGGCCAACCTACCACAAGAAGATTTGCTCTCTTTACAATACTCAACGGCGCTTGACCAGCAACTCCCTTTCCTTTGTGGACTCTTATTTGAATTTTTCTATATATGCACACTGTACAACTTTTGGTTTTACTCCGTCGCTGGCAACGGCGAGAAAGAACGCTCTCCCTTCGTTGGCTTCAACCCCTGACCAACTGGATCCCACGGATAGGGTAGATCAGCGAGTGGATTGCGCGCGGGCTTGTGATTTTGGGCCGTCCTTCGAAATTTTGTGTTGCGTGTACCCCGTATTTAGCGTCTTGTTTTGCGATTTTCTTTTCTGGGAGACACTTCCAAGCATTTTTTGGCTCCTTGTTATTTGATAATTTGTTTTGTAATATGTTTAGCTCTCTAACCGCTTCTTGTTTTCCATTTTTCTTGATTATGTGTGTTTCTATTTTTGTTACGTTGCTTATTTGCCTTGCTTTTGTTGATAGCTCTTTTGCGTTCTCAAATATTTCTAGCGATTGCGCATGGTTCCCCGTCTCTCCTCTCCCCTTTCTGCCCTGGGTTTTTCATGACCCAATCCTGTCCCAACCTTGCTCTATGTGCTCGTGGAAATGAGTACTTGCGGGCCATTTTCTGTTGATTTGCCTTCCTGTTTAATTCTGACGTGCTTATGATTATGATTTCTATGACAATGGCCATTTCTTTTAGGGCCTAGGCGAAGTGAAGCAAGTGGGAACTCCATCTCCCACGCGAACGCTTATCACTATGCTCTCCTTTTGTTTTTATTCACCCTTTGTTAATTTTCAAAGTTTGCACTCTCTCCGCTCATTTGACCGGATCCAGCCGAGCCAATCATTTGTTGATGATCTACGCATATTATCATTCTGGGCTACTTGAGAGCTCCTACCAGAAACAACTTACCTTCTTTGGATATATTTTTTTAAAGATTTCTTCTAATTATAATCAAATCATGGAATTGATTTCATTTGCATTTCTGGGACAATATAATTTCATATAACTATCAAATAACTAAAGCGATTGTAGAAAGGATGGTAACCAGACCGAAAATAAATGGCGTCTTAACGAAGCCAGTTTGCTTGTTTCAAGCAATTAAATTCGAATCGAAATAATGAAAATTCATAGGCCGAAAAAAAATGGATAATTAAACCCTTAAACGTTACACGGGAACGGGAAAGTGTTTACTGCTTTGGATTATACTTATCCTTCCATATCCTATCAGTAACAACAAGAAAGTTAGCGAAAGTCTGGAAAGGAAGGAAACCAGCTCCAGCGTTAAGTAAGAGGATGATTGGTTGGCGGATTTAGCTCCCGTCTTTCTGGTGCTTGGAGCCTGAGGAAAACAAGAGGGGATGTGTTGGGGGGGGGGGGGGTGTGGGTGAGGGTGTGGGCTATTTTTAGCTCAAGCGCTGCTGGCCTATCATGCCCATCTTGACACTTGCGGTTTGAAACACACAAGACTCCCTCTCCCTCTCCCCCCCCCCCCTCCTAACAGCAGCGAACGCACTGTCACGTCATGCAAAGTGATGTCAAGGACCAAGCTCAAGCAAGTAAGCCGAAGCCCGGAAGCAACTAGGCAACGCAGGGCAAAACCATTGCAGCTGTCTGTTCGCGAGCTGAATTGCTTGCTAGCTTGAATTGATTAAGTTGATTGGATTGCTTTGCTTTGCTTGGGCTGGCTCTGGTGCCCCCCGGCCCCGTGCAGGCGGGACCTTGTTTTGGGAGGGGAGGTTGGTTTGTGATGAGAGAAAATGTAACGGAAGGGGTGGATACGAATGGGTCCAATGTTGTGAGGAGAAGGGGGGGAAAACGGGGTGAAGAAACGGAACGAAAACAAAAAATTATCTCTGGTGGTTGAGGGGGGGCGGAGGAGAACTAACCAAGTATTTCCAAGGGTCTTGTTGCCGTTCTCTTCAGCAAGGCGGTAGTATTGTGCGGCCTTATACTAAAAATTAAAAAAAGGGTTAGTCTTGGTTCCATTCATAGCTCTTGTTTGTATTCTGCAAGGGCGGCCATGTAACAAATTCAAGAAGCGGACTTAGAAGGACAGAAGGTGGAGATGGAGGGGGGAAGCAGGAGAATGGCGAATGGGAAAAGATGACAAAGGCGAGCTTGGGAGAGTTGGATGCCCAAAGGCCAAGGGGAAAAAGTGAGGGAGGGGAAAATTAGACGCATTGCTGCCCAACCGTGATCCGATTGTGATCGTGAAATCTGCATCCGGAGCTCTGTTTGGTAGAAGCTTCTTTTTTCTTGGGCGCGCTATGCAAGGCACACTGAGCCAGTGGGTGGAGCGTGAACGCAAGATGGATTCAGCCTCAACAGGTTTCTCAGTCTGGGCTGTTTGAATGGGGTTGAATGGTTATGATATTCAGATCCCCCTTGTAACCAACCATCTCGACAGCGGAATGAAAATTTTAGAGGAATGAAATTCGAGAAAGAAAACGCTCGTGCGACGAATAGGAATTCGTCTCTCTCTTCGTTATTTTGACCTACCCTATCTTTTTTCCCTCCAAATCCCTCCAAGAAACACCAGGCTGCCTCATTCATGGCATCCGTATCTCCTAGATTCGCTGCAGTCTCGTAATAATGTCTGGCTGCGACGGGATCTTTGGCTACTCCCCAACCATTACGGAAACAATTGGCCAATTCATACATGGCAAGCACCAACTCGCCCTTAGCAGCGCCTCCTTTCTTCATACCCGCACGCAGAGCTTCAGCCTCGATCGAGGCAGAGTTGGATGCCGCAGCGGATAGGTAGGTGATGGCTTTGTCAGGATCGGGTGTGCATCCCCATCCATGTCTGTATCATACGGTCAGAGATTGTTCTTTTAGTTTCATCGTGGAGGCAAGCGAACAAACCGGAGAGCGAGGCCATAGAGTACTTGGCTCAATGGATTATTTGCACCATTGGGATCAGCCAGTCTGCCGAACATCTGAGTTGATTCCACGAGCTCTGTCCCAAAGAAAAGAGATCAAAAATAAGCCAATGAATCAATCCACCTCCGCCGTTTTGCCCAAACACTCATCCTTTGTACATAATGGGAGTAGCTTAAAACTTACGTCCATTTTCATGTAGTCGAATCGCTTCTTGGATATTCTCCTATAGCATTTGTAGCCAGTTAGTAACCGGGGCATATCTCTACGAGATAACAAACTAATAGCAATATTCCTTCCCACGATATCATAAAAGTAAGGATCCGGACATACATCACCCTCTTTCTGCTGCTCAATAACCCCTCTCGGGCTAGGAGGTGGCATGCCAGCAGCTGCATTCAAGCCACCCTGTACCATTATCGTCGCTCTCTTCTCCCACTGAGCCTCACGCTCCTGCGCATCGCCCGTGTCCGGCGCGATTTGTGGGAGATTCGCTGGAAGATTGACAGAGGAGGTGCTAGTGGAGCGCGAAGAACGGTTCAGGTGCAGGCGCTGGGAAAGACGGCGCTCGCCCTTCTCGCCGCGCGAGGGTGATAACTCATGGCCGGGCGAGTGCTCGCGGCTCCCGGCGGAAGAGGCATTGGAGAAGCGGCGCAAGCGGGAGAAAGGACTTTGCGACGATGTGGAGGGGTTTGAAAGTGGAGGGGATTGCGATTGCGATTGCGATTGAGCCTGGGACTCGGGGTGCGAGTGGTGTTGGGCCCCGGGGGGTTGGATAGGTTCGGTTGTGAATGTGTCTGAGCGGAAGAATTTAAATTCGGGAGGAGGAGAAAGAGGCGGAGGAGGGAAAGCTTCTTGCTGGTAATAGCGCTGTTGCTGGCGCTGCTGTTGCTGAGGGTGTTGGGAGTCGTCGTCTTTTATTTTTTTGTCTTTCTTCTTGAGAAGGTCTTTGAGCGTCATGGCGTCGTTGTTCTTTGCTTTTTCTGTTCTGTGGTGGGGCAACTATATGCGCACCGTGGAGATAGATGTTAGGGATAAGCTTTAACAAATACACTGATAGCGGGGGAAATTATATCTTCATTCGGTATGTTTGAAAAGGGAGTAGAATCTCCCGCAAGAAAGTCTTTATTTGCCTCAAGCTGGCGATTGTGGCTGTGTGTAGACTATTTATGAAGAAACTAACAATGCGATCGAGCTGAACAAAAAAAGCCCTGGTTTGGTCTCCATGTCGCAAACCGGCCAGAGCCGAGCATTGCTGAACATTACTGGGATATAAATCTAGAGCTTTTTGAAAAGAGTTGTTCTTCAGTTTGCTGCCGGGATACAGGAATGCCAAATAGCTAGTAACTGTATTATTTAATGAACCGAATTATATGATTTCTTGACTCTACTCTCCCAGCAGGATTCTTTCATTATTACACAATCCACAAATATCTGGCCATAAATGCTCTAAAGGAAAAAGGTCACAGTCCCTGGGCCAATATATCACTTCCCATCCCCTTCATCATCGATATAGAAACTCAATAAAATTTCCCCATCCTAGCTCACCAGGAGTCACCGAATCGAGAGACGAGGAAATCATTGCACTTGCGTATCACTAAGATCACTACTGGGTTAGGATAGGCGTTGGGTCAGGAGACAGCCGGACCAAATCTCGAGCTATTGAGAACCCTAAGCGACTCTTAACCAGGCCTCATTTTTTTCGACTCAGTGACTAAGTAGAGGCAGTTAACACAATTTTTTGTGGTGTCCACGAAGTCCATTTCCCAATTCAACCCATATTGAATTGAATTTTCAACCCTGTGATGATCCTTGACCCGACAATGTTGCGTATAAAAGAAGCAAGGGCGGTTTTTCAACCTCTAGCTCGCTTTTCAAAGCGCTCACATCAACTCCTAGTTTGCAAGTTATCAAGGATATCCTCAAATGACTATCACAAATTGACCCTATATCCGTTCCTGTACTCATATTTGCACACCATAGTCATCCTCCCAACCAATCAATATCGCCAAACCAAGCTCCAGCAAAGCCGCAGGATCGAACATATCAACCTTCCTTGAATTGGTCCAACAGTCGCTATCGAAGGAATTTTGACAACCGAAAATGTTACGCAGTAGAATCAATCTCTTTCATATGGAGCTGGTCAGCAACAAATACGATGTGCTCGTCGAGATGGGCCGGGTGGGCGGCGGCTTCAATGCAGGCATCGCCATCGTTAGGCGTAGATCAGACCGACTAATTTGTGTTCGCAAGCGACTCGTCCTCGGCCAGCTATCGACGCCGCGCCACTGGAATCGAGAGGCAGCCCTCATGCGTAAACTGCGAGGACATCGGAACATCTGCGGCATCATCGAAGCTGACATCGGGCCGGAGAAGGGCGAATTATACCTCGAGTATTGCAAAATGGGCACCCTGCACGATTTCATGAAATACATGAAAGGCACCAACCTCGCTGTTCCTGAGCCATTCGTGTGGCACGTGCTGTATGGCTTAGTCGCAGCATTGTGCTGGATGCATGATGGCATTCTCAATCCATCCAACATCCGCCGACCCAGCCAAGGACGCATGACAGGCTGGATGCCTGTCATACACAGGGATATTAAACCGGATAATTGTTTTCTCCAAACCAACACATCCCACAGGACCATATATCCAACGGTTAAGTTGGGTGATTTCGGCCTCGCTATCAACAAGGAGGACATCAATAACTTGAGTTCTACCAGCAGCGCAGTGTGCGCCCCAGGTTGGTTCCCCCCGGAGTACCCTCTATGTGGTGAACGTAGCGATGTCTACCGTACTGCGGCGATAGCCCAGTTGTTGTGCCTGCCTCACTGGGCCCTTGGCATTGGTGCGCAAATATCATCACCTTACAGTTCAGAACTGGCTACTTGTATTCGTACCGGAATGAGCGGAAATATCCACGAGCGTCCTTTTGCTTTGGAATTTGCTAGGTTCATAGACAGCCGGACACCTTGCCTCGCGCAAATTCCGGTTCCCAGTGGCGCGTTCAGGGTTCGTGAATTGTAGCTTTTCTGTGTACCGTCAGCAGGAAATACGTATGTGCAAGGGGATGGTGTTTCAGTCATCATTCAATTCGTTATTTCAATTGGTAAGCAAGCATGCAGAAAGTGAAATTCGCAAGTACTATACAACGATTTTCAATGGCAAAAAACAATGGTTTATATTCTTGGATTTTTGTACACGGAAGTTGAAAGGAAGCTAGCTCTAGGTCAGATAAATTGTCCAAGATTTACTAGGGCTTCGCAGAAACGATTCCTACAGGTTATGCATTAGCAACTTATCCCATCGGATGGTTCTTGAAATGGCGAGTTTCTATTTAGTTGTTTTTGTTCCTTCGCTAAATAAAGGGAAACTCACTCTCAACATCCGCCACACTTTGTTGCAAAATTTGTTGAAGAACCTTGGGGTTCTCTAATTCCTTCTGGATCTTGCTGATGACGGTCTGGGCCAATTCGTGCTGTTGGCGGACCTTGACCTGTCCCTCGTACTGTACCCACGAGTCGAGGACCTTCTTAGCCTCAGCGGCGAGAGCAGTGCGCTGCTCCATTTCATAGGCCTGAGCCTCCAATCGGGCGGTTTCCTATAATTATCGAATTGTCAGAAACCCAACAATTAACATGTTCCTTACTTGCTACGCAAAGGATATTCCACATACCTTGGACACCTCAAAAAGGTTCTTGGTGATCTCAACAACGCCGCTCAATTGCTTGACATTCTCAATTCTCTCTTTAACCGCATTGGTGTGGTTTGTTCTGGCACCGTTGAGGATATCCTTCTGTTTTTGGATCTGGGTTTCAGCCCATTCTTTATACATGGGGCCAGCCATCTTAGCTACAGCAGTAAAGACACTGAGGAGACAGAATGCAGCCACAGTCTCTTCATTGAAAACATAAAGCTCATTGCTGATCGCGGCAATGGAGAGACCAGCACCAGCAGAAAGGATGGCAGTTTTGGACACTAAGCTATTGCCTGGCAGGGCATCAATTATGGACTGGGCCTTAGTTTTGGGGTCTTCGGTGGGCACATTGGAAGCCGAGCGCGTAGATGTGAAGGAGGTTGAGGCCGCTGGGATGGTTCGGGAGGTGATGACCGGACGGACACGGGCGGCCGCGCCTGGGATCAATCAATTAGCCGTGGCTCCAATTCAGCATAGTGGGGGCGCAGCAACATACCAATGGCGCTCTTTGCCAATCTCGAAGCCATTGCGGTAGGAGGAAGAGTGAGCAGCGAGGGAGTGGTGTGGTGGTGATGATATTGGGGGTTTGTTGCAGTCTAATACCAGCCAAGTCAAGTTTGGTGAAGAGGCTCGGGTGGGAGGTGGCGCTAAGCCAATTCGGCACTAGTGGGGGTGTGTTTTCCGAGTTTGGATCGAAGAAATATATAAAATGAACTTAAAACTTTGATAGACAGAAGAGAGGACACGAGAAGAAGTCGGATGTCTACAAGTTACGGTATATAAGTCTGCTCTGTTAAGAAATTCTTCACATACCAGCCAGCATGCCCGGCCTACTTGATGGAGTGCACAACTCCAAAAAAAGGAAGAAGGATGCTTCGGAACGCAAACCGCAATCGTCCAAGCGGAGAGCTGTAGCGGACGACAATGAGGATAAAAACAGGATACAGCAGTTGGAGGACCAGATAGCAGAGTCCCGAAAGTACTATAACAACATTGTCACCTTGATATCCCTCTTTATCACCGAAGACTCTACAAAGTCACCCAATCTCACTGTTGCCCTTTCACTCTGCAGGGTCTTCTGCCGACTGTTGGCAGGAGGCCAGTTCAACAAACCCAAAGGCGCAAGTGAGCAGGACTTGATACTGGTTGCATGGCTGAAAGAAAGATATCAAGAGTATCAACAGGGTTTGATTAATGTTCTCAAAAAGGCAGAGCCAACAGCTCAAGTATGGACTCTACCCTCTCTTCAATTCATTCGGAAAATGTGCGCCTAACGAATTTCTGCATTAGATTGCGGCCCTCTCCCTTTGCATGCGCTTGATCAAAGAACAGTCCATCAATGGAGGAGCTGGAGCTGATGTGGGAGTGTGGAAGGGGGGCTACTTCAACGACCTGGTTATAGCTCTCATCGAGGCCCAAGATGGAGAGCGTGTGCGGTCGGAATTCATCGAGAACTTTCTGACCAAGTACCATGATGTTGCTTTTTATACCCTTCTTCGGCTCTCGTAAGTTTCGCACTTCTTTCTTCTTGCTACGTGCGGTTTTCACTAACTACTATTATAGCGATTTTGCATCAACCAATAAATCTCCCGAGTCAATAGAAGTTGTCATATCCCTCTTATCCGCCCTAGGCCAACCGCCACCGCCAAACCACGAGTTCGAGAGCTTCTACACCGACCTATCAAGTGTCGGTCAAAAACACAAAGCTACCCTTCTCTCTGTTTCTTCGTACAAGCAACGCGTCCAAGCTGCTTGGCTCAGCGTTCTACGGAGTAATACTCTAAACGAACAGCAAAGAAAGACTCTCCTCCGCCTAATGTCCCGCCTTATAGCCCCATGGTTCCTCAAACCGGAGATGCTCATGGACTTCCTAACGGATTCTTACGACCAGGGAGGATCAACATCCCTCCTCGCCCTCTCAGGCCTCTTCTACCTAATCCAAGAAAAGAATCTCGACTACCCACAATTCTACCAGAAACTCTATTCTCTCCTAGATGCCGACCTCCTCCATTCAAAACACCGTTCTCGCTTCTTCCGCCTCCTCGACACCTTCCTGTCCTCCTCCCATCTCCCCGCAACCCTTGTCGCAAGTTTCATAAAGCGGCTATCCCGGCTCGCGCTCAACGCGCCCCCGGCTGCCATAGTCGTCATCGTCCCCTGGATCTACAACCTCCTGAAGTCCCACCCAACATGTACCTTCATGTTGCACCGCGTGATCCGCGATGAGGACTCACAATCCAAATTGCAATCTCACGGCATGACCGACCCCTTCGATCCTACGGAGCCAGACCCAACCCGCACCGGCGCTCTAGAAAGCAGTCTGTGGGAAATCGAGACTCTGCAGTCACATTACCATCCCAATGTGGCATCGCTTTCGAAGATCATCTCAGAGCAGTTTACGAAGCAGGCGTATAACTTGGAAGATTTCTTGGATCATTCGTATCAAGGGATGGTTGGGATGGAGCTAGGGAAGGAGGAAAAGGAGTTCCGAAAGGCTCCTGTGGTAGAGTTTCAGATTCCGAAGAGAATTTTTACGGATAGGTTGCTGGAGGAGGATGGGGGAGTGGACAAGGAAGTAGGGGCGTTGGTAAGAGGCTTGTGGGATTTTACGTAAGGCTGATGGCCCTCACACACACACACATACACACACAGAGATATATATATATATGTACCTATTTGGATGTAAAGAATAGAGAGCCCAAAACTCACAACCAAGTGACTACGGGGATATTTAACCTTTTATTCTTCAGCTTCAAAATTACACACATCCTTCCCTTCTAATCTTTGAGCATAAGTGCAGAGAGCGGAATAAAAGGGAAATGGTTCAATTTAGAGATTGTTGGATCCCTTGTTCATTAAAACAAACGAAGAACTCCCGTGTATCACGCCTGCGCATATGAACCCAAAACGGAAAGAGGATGCAGGATGAAAAAGGAAAGGAAAAGGAAAAGAGAAATAGCCAAACTAAACGAGTGGAGTGACTCTTGCCATCAAATCAAACCCCTGGAAAAAGATAGAGAAAGAAACCTTGTATGTATCCCTAAACCACGACACAAAACACCGACCCAAAGTCCCAAAGCTTCGTTCAAATCCATGTAAGTCTTTAATGAATTTTACGTGATTATGTCAATGCCCATATCCGAGAGGACGCTTGCTGACCACTCCCCCGTCGTCGCAGATGCATCAGAAGGAGTTAGCTCCAACGGGTCCGGTTCTTCAACTACCATTCCCAGATCCTCCGCAGCAGCCCGCTCAAGTGCAGACTGGAAATCTCCACTAAACCCAGGGCGAAAGACCAGGTGCGGATCTGCGCGAATATATTCTCGCGCCTGCGGTCGTCTTTGACTGTGCATATCACGCTCCTCTGCCTCCGGATCCCCCGGGTGGTAATTGCCGCTCGGATCGACGACGAAAATAGCTCGCTTGAGATCATCGAATAATTCATCGGATATATCAACTGGTATAGCTTCGATCCTAACCCGCAAATCCTCCATGATTGCTCTTACATACCGGTCCCTTAGGTTTCGGTACGCAATCGTTTCTTGCTCCATCAATTGCCAGCATTGGATGATTTGCGCTTCTGTTGTTGCCATCTTGATATTCTCTGCCGCTCTGTAAGTGATGTTGAAAAGTTCCTTAGCGACGGATTGGAAAACCTTGTCGACTTTCGGCGCAGCGCTGGCAATCGTGGTGCAAATGACTTTGGCGAGTTCTGGGGAATATATTCGTTGCCAAAAGGCGACCCAGCTGCTCATGCCGATTCTTGATTTCCGCATCCGCGTCAATTCCAAGGAGAGAAGAGCGGTGTGGCAATTATTAAGGATATCTTTTGCGTCTTCGCGGGCCTCGAGGACGGATGGTGGTACGGACACGGACTTAGCAGGAGGGGGTGAACTGTCGCCAATGTCGATGGCGGAATCGGCTGGTGAAGCTGGTCGGTACTGGACGGGTTCATATTCTTCTTTGGAGCGAGAATAAACTACCTCGACACCGGGGGGGGAACTAAGGCCCTGTTTTGAGGCGGTGTTTTGTAGCCATTCAAGGAGGTGATAGGGCGTCGTAGTCCCTGCATTATTGCATTCCCGTTGGTGATATCGATAATGCATGTGGCAACGAGAAACAAGTAACGAAGGACAGAAAGAAAGAAGCGAACGAAGAACCACGCAACAAAAGCAGAGGAAACTATAATGAATCTGAACGCAAGCAAAAAGCTTAAAGGGAGGCCCATAAGTAAACTATGTACAGATATCTCAATAACTTCAAACGAGTGGATGGCATAACTTGACGGATGAGAGCAATAGATAAAACCACAAAGGATTCAGTCTCAGCGAGTCAAGAAGTAGGCAAATAGTTAAATAGACGCCGTAAGCCAACCCAGGGTTTGTTTTGGCAGGGCGATTTGTCCGCAGCGGAAGGAGGATTGGCCCCAAGCCAGCCCAGCCCGGCCCCTGAATCAAGGGAAAGCGCAATTCCAGACGTAGCAGGGAGTAAGGGAGGGAAAACTGCGTAAAAATAGCATATTGGACTCTTATCTCCTAGATTTTCAATGTCTTTCAATGTTTCTATTTCCATTGAATCCTGTTGATTCTCTCTCCCATGTGAGTGCTGCGTGAATGGTGACGTCAGTAACAATCTCACTGTGTACGTACTGCGTAGTAGATATCAAATTATACGAGGCCTGGGCTTCTAGAATGGCAGAAGTGGTAAGTTAGACAGCCAGCAAGAAATGAGAGACAGAAAACTGAAACGGTGCAAGAAACAAAGTAAGGAAGTATTAATTTGCGAGCAGCGTAAAGACCTCTAGAATAATCGTTCTACCCCATTTTGCTTCTGTTCAAAAAGGGCATCTATCTCCCTGCTCGCCCTGTATTGAAGTTGGCATTTGCGCCTGTGAAGGAGAAGGGCCATTTATCATTGAATATTCTATCTGTTCTTTGCTCTGCTTTCCATCGTTCTTAGAATTGGGGGGCAAGGATGCAAGTTTCCTGCTTCGTAGGGCAAGGGGCAAAAGGGCAATGATAGGGCATGAACCCTAGATTGCCTGTTGAGGTATGTAATGTATGTATGTAACTACACCGTACTCCGTACAGTACAATATAGTTACATACATTATCTTGGCACCCATGCGGCTTTGTCCGTCGTCGTGCGCGATCATGGATATCAACATCACCATAACCCAAAACAACCAACCAACCACCATCACAGCTCATTCCATGGAATGACGACTTCCACAGCAGCAGTGACATCACGGGTGTGTCGATACTTCGTCGGTTAGTTACCCGCTGCTCTTCCCCGCCCGATCTCGAATGGAGTGATGGACGATGCCAAAACTGCGGGTTCAGAACAACCACATCATTATGTGCTTGCTACATGTTAAAAGTTTGTTTACGAATTCGTCCCTGTGCTCATCAACCTTGAGGGGGGCCCAGTTGTGGATTGTTCTTCCTGAAATCAGGGTTGATGAGTCGCGGGATATTATCCCTGAAGAAGTTCTGCCTTGCCTTGCCTTGCCCTGCCCTGCCCTGCCCTGCCCTGCTTGACGAGGAAAAATGCCTTTGGTTTGAGAGAAGAGATGAGCGTCAAATTTTGATTGGAAGATTCAGCGGGTCGGTCGTTTGCTTGGAGCGATGGTTGGAAATGGGCATACATAACGCACAGTACACTTGAACATGGTGCCAACTCGGGTCGGAAAAACAGCTCAGCGTGGTTCCAAACCCATTTCAACTGGACTCATGGCATGGCACTACCCCATTACAAGTGCTCAACACCCAATGTGTATTTTAGAGGGAGGTGAAATAACATGTGGTGGCCCTGGTGGGTGGGATAGTTGTTGATCTCTCATCAATCTCGGAGGAGCTGTGGATCACGTGCTGAGAGGCGATTGCTGTGGCAAACCCCTCAAGGTTGGTTGGTGGCCCGCTGCATACGCTGGAATAATCGACGACGATATTATTATTTTGGCATTCTCAGCCACTTGGAGCCATCCTCACTACTCCCCTCCCCCCACACACCTAAAAGTAGCTTGTGGGTGTATTGCAGCGAATCAGAACTTGGCTTAGGTGTTGTTCCGCAGATCTAGCCAGGCCCCTGAATTAGCAGCAACCGACGTTGAACCTAGAAGGTTCTGACCTTTATCCCACAACGAAATTCTACGCGCTACTAAGTTTTCATACAACAACAAAGTTTTCATACAACAACAAAACAACGGATCAATTATTTATGAATTGAGGATTGAATGAAAACAACTGTGAAAATAAGAAACAAAGAAATGAATCCACCAGGTGAAGAGGACAGGAAAATGTCTGTTATAGATATCACAAAGGACTTATCGGCTCTCTTCCTCCAGCAGGTGCATGTGACACCAGATGCTATCGCCTTAGAGGACCAAAAGACCCAATACACCTATTCCGAACTCGACAGGAAAGTCTCAGAACTTGCTCTTCGTCTCCGTGGACATGGCGTTGGTCGAGACAGCCTTGTTGGTGTGCTTCTGGGCCGCAGCGCCGACTACGTGATTGCCTGTTTGGCAGCTCTTCGTGCCGGGGGAGCTTTTCTTGTTCTCGAGCTTGCCTATCCCCCGAACCTCCTCGCTGATGTTATCGACGATTCCAATCCCACCGTGATAATCACGAATCAAAGCCAGGCTGCCAAAATAAAGGCCAGCACCCCATTGATAGTCCTCGACAAGCCGCAGAAAGAAACCCCGCACGCGAACGAACTCCCGCCATTACCTGCTGACGATGATTTGGAACGGCTAGCTTTTGTATCTTACTCGTCCGGGACAACTGGCCGCCCGAAAGGAATTGCAAATCCACACCGGGCACCGGTCCTCTCATATAATCTCAGATTTCGACTTTCTGATCTTCAGCCCGGAGACCGTGTGGCTTGCAATGTCTTCTTTGTTTGGGAAATACTACGCCCTCTCTTGCGAGGAGCGACGGTCGTTGCGGTTCCGGATGATATGAGTTATGACCCTGCTGCACTGGTCGACCTACTTTCTGCGAAACGTATCACAGAAACACTAATGACTCCTACGCTTTTGGCCGCGGTACTTTCAAGGCACCCGGCAATTGGGAGCCGTCTCCCGGATCTGCGCACCTTGTGGCTTAATGGTGAGGTCGTCAGCACTGATTTAGCCCGGCGAGCGATCAAAGCTCTTCCAAACACCCGACTGCTCAACTGTTACAGTGCCTGCGAAACCCATGAGATTGCGTGCGGGGACATCAGGGATATGCTTGATGACGAAGCCCTTTACTGCCCCGTTGGTCCACCATTGTTCCCTAAACAGACGTATATTCTAGATGATAGTGGCAAACCAGTGGAACATGGGGTTGGTGGTGAGCTTTTCATTGGCGGGCCGTTGCTAGCCCGAGGGTATCTGAACCGCCCTGAAACTACGGCCAAGGCTTTCATCCCAAACCCATTCGATTCAACACCAGGAGCCCTCATGTACAGAACCGGAGACACAGCCAAAATGTTACCCTCGGGGCTTCTCGAGATTAGCGGTCGCGTTGGGGCTATGATTAAGCTGCGTGGTTATTCTGTTGTTCCAGGAAAGGTTGAAAATGCCATCATCAACCATCTTGCTGTTAACGACTGTGTCGTAGTCGCCCACGGTGAAGGTTTAGAAAGGCAATTGGTAGCGTATGTTGTCCAGGACAAGGCAAATTCTTCTGGTCGGCCAAATATAGAAGTCAATGAATCAGGACATAGCCCAGCAGCACGTCGCATACTTTCTCCTTATCTGGCCCACTACATGATTCCAGCATTATGGGTCGAACTAAATGAGCTACCAACCCATGAAGTCTCCGGAAAAGCCGATTTGAAACGCCTCCCTCCCCCTCCGACACCCAAACCTATAATAACAAATGGGCATAAGGCTAAAAGCGATCCAATCTCAATTGACGCGATAGCCGAATTTTGGGCTGCATCCCTCAAAATAGCACGCAGCGCCATTACTCCAGAGCACAACTTTTTCGATTTAGGTGGGCACTCCTTGTCAATTGCTGACCTTGCCTCAAGACTATCGAAAAATTTTGGTTTCCGCATCCCCCTCGACCGTCTAGTGGATCCTCCAACGCTCACTGGTCACCTGAAAACGGTACGTGCTGTACGGGATGGGCACACTGCCGCATTGCAAGCAGATCTACCAGCAGTATTACGCGCGGACTCTATCCTTGACGATGACATTCAACCCTCCAGTGCGAAAACAAGGTCGCTCTCCGAGGCAAATACAGTGCTCCTTACTGGCGCGACTGGTTTCTTAGGTGCATTTCTCCTCAACGACTTGTTGGAAGCCACATCCGCCAAGATCGTGTGTCTTGTTCGTTTTAACGACCCTTCTGGTGAAGATGGCCCGGGAGGCGTAGCGAGAATACGCAGAAATCTGCTTGATCTGGGATTATGGCGCGACTCGATCATGGAGCGAGTCGAGATCCTGCCCGGAAATCTATCTCGAAAACGCTTTGGTCTATCCCCCCAGGCTTTCGATGATCTTGCCGCTCGTGTCCAGGTCATCATCCATGCTGCGGCGACAGTCAATCTTGTATATCCATATGCCGCCCTGCGAGGTGCCAATGTAGGAGGGACGAGAGAGATCTTGCGCCTCGCGTGTCAGTCCGGTGCCACAGTACAATATATATCGACAAACGGAGTGTTGCCTCCATCTCAGAAAGGCTGGCCAGAGGATGCCATGCTTGATGTATCTGAAGTTCCAGAAAAGCTGCTTGACGGGTACGGCCAGACCAAATGGGTGGCAGAGCAACTTGTGCTCGAGGCTGGTCGTCGCGGCCTGCCGGTGAAAATATTACGAGCCGGAACAATAAGTGGTCACAGTACCACGGGCGCTGGAAACGCCTGGGATCTCCTATCTGCATTAATCGTGGAATCGATCCATCTCGGTTATGCGCCTGACGTAGAGGGGTGGCGTGCAGAGATGACTCCAGTAGACTTCGTCAGCAAAGCTATTATCCATCTCTCCAATCAGACTCAAACCAATCGGGTTATGTTTCATCTCGGTGACCCAAGCCCTGTCGACACACGAACCGTGTTCGATTGCCTCAAGGACCTAGGCTACCCAACCCAGCGTCTCAGCTGGGATGAATGGGTTGCATTGTGGACGGAGAAAAGAGCATCTGCAAAAGGTGGAGATGGCGCCTTTACAGTTGACATCCTTCGAAGCGGCATGCCAACTGTTGATTTCCTCAAAGGCATTGTTGTCCTGAGCAACGCTGAAACCAGGCCTTTCCATTCGGACGTCGAACGCCCCAAGGTGGACATTATCTTGCTAGAAACCTACGCTCGCCATTGGTTTGCCCGAGGTTGGCTCCCTCGCTCTCCTTCCCGGAAACATTGCCTCAACGGAGTTTCGCAGCCAGCACCCAAAGGTCCACTTAGCGGCCATGTTGCAGTCATCACCGGCGCATCTTCCGGAATCGGTGCGGCTGTTGCTACTGCCTTGGTCCGAGAAGGGGCCCATGTTGCTCTCGGTGCACGACGCACTAAAGCTCTTGAAGCCGTAAAGAGCACCCTTCCTCTCCGTGACAACAAAGTAATTATCCGACAAACCGACGTGACAGATAAGTCCCAGGTGGAAGCCCTAGTTCGTGCAGCCAACGAGGAGCTAGGCCCCGTGGATATAGTTGTCGCCTGCGCTGGAGTCATGTACTTCACAATGATGGCGAATACGCAGATGGAGGAGTGGGATCGCACTGTCGATGTGAACTGCAAAGGCCTCCTACACTGTCTCGCGGCCACTGTGCCGTCAATGCTTTCTCGTGGTAAAGGCCATATCGTCGCCATATCATCTGATGCCGGCCGTAAAGTCTTCCCTGGACTAAGCGTCTACTCAGCAAGCAAATTCTTTGTCGAAGCCACGTTACAAGGGCTGCGACTGGAGACAGCAGGTAAAGGCTTGCGCGTCACGAGCGTCCAACCGGGAAATACGGCCACCGATCTTCTAGGGATGTCTACTGATGCTGAGGCTATTAAACAGTATGGTGAACCATCAGGAGCTCGGATCCTAGATCCGGAAGATGTAGCGAACTCGATAATTTATGCGTTACGACAACCCGAGCACGTCGCTGTGAATGAGGTACTGATTGAGCCTCGCGATGAGCCCATTTAAACGCTGACCCCGGGAAAAAAAAAGAGAGGAAAGCCCGATTTTCAACCAGCAGATATCTATTATACCCCATTCCAAACAGGACAAAGCAGGTGAACAAACATCTTTCATCAGGTCGCCTTCTTTTCAACAAGATTGGCACGGCCAACTAAGTTACCATTCATTCTCCGTCGATTTATATTAGTTTATAGCTCCTTTCCATTTTCCGTCTAAGTACCCGTACACAATCTCATTAATAACCCCAATCATCGCCTCACACTTTCCTGCGTCGATGTCTTGCTCTAGACATTTCACTTACTTAGCGGTGGAGATATTTGAGTCTACAAGAAAGCAACCACTCAAGCGGCAGAATTCAAATTGGAAAACAAATTCTGCGCGTCCATTCAAGTTCCTTCTGGGGAACAAGCTTTGGATGAAAGAAAATTATTCGTGACAGTGATCGATACATGAGATATGATAGAGACAGCCCATAGCGACAAAAGAATCATGTAGGTGACCACAGAACTAACCACAATTCAAGATACCATCTTCAAACTACTACCATTTTATTTCATGCCCAAGTCTGGGGGATATTTGAAATGATAACAGGTCTCAAGTTACGCAAGCTTATCGCTTATCTAGGATTTGGTATCATACAACCGCTCCCATATCTGAGAATTTTTATTAATGGTGTGGTCGCCTGCTAACATTTAATGAAGCCACACTTGCCACAAGTCATCACGGTTTGTCTTGCAGCGAAATGAGTTCGTATGTATATGAGGAGATCTGTCCTGCGTGGAACTTTTTATGTAAAGCCTGGGACCAACTTTCCAGCTAACATGCATGTAATATTATGGACGCCTCGCGGCGCTTGAAAGCACCACACCAAAATAAACGACTGAGGAGATGAATAGTGATACATCAAAAGCAGGAATCAAAACCGGCGGGAAAAACAGACAAATGAAAAAAAAAGATGAAAACTTGAGATCCAAGGGGACAAAAACAGTATTATGAACTCTCCACCCTCTAACAGAAACTTTTAGCCCATATCAGCAAGGGAAAAAAACAATACATATGTCTGATTCTTGTCAATGTTGCAAGACGTCCAGAACCGCGATCTCGGATCCCATCTCCCGAGCTCGCAACGTGCTTTTTAAGGTTTTGGTATGACTTGTCCAGCTATTTTCTCCCGTACTTGAAATGAATAGGATCGCTCTCCCAACGCACACGAATGAGAAGTATGTAATGTACATGTACATTACATTACGTGCAACTCGCTCGTCAGCTCGCAGGGGCCGGTCTTTTCGGCCATGTTGTAATTCCACATCAGCGGCTATGCTCTCAGCACATACTATGCGGGAAGCTAGGGTTACTGCTTTGAATCGGCTCGAGGGGTTTCCCCGCCGACTTCCTGCAAAGTCTGGTGGGTTGATCCACCGACGCTGGTGTATCTGCCAGGGGGCCTGCAAACACAGGCTTGATCAACAACAAGCAGAAGCAGATTTTGAGTAAAACCAAAAACTGAGAAGTCATTGTGAACGACTGACAAAATGAGTTTCGTTGAGAGTTCGTGGCGAAGAGGGCTTCTTCCGAAGGTGGTGAAGATGAGAGAAAGAGAAAGAAAGGGTTGTCAAGATTCCGTTTGCAATCGAACAAACTTGTTTCTTCTTATATAACTCCGCGCTTCTCTTATAGCGAGCATATGGCCCCCTATTCGGACGTAACTGGCAACCATCTGTTTTTAGAACAGAAATTGATTTAGAGCTCAAGATTGGATAGCAACAGGTGTACTCCGTAGTTGATTTTGATATTAAATTTCGGCCGGCATGTAGGTGTACGTATGTATGTATGTATGTCCTATACCTGCTCCATCGTGGCAGTTCAGCAACTCCAATTTGTAAAGCACCACTAACTAGTCCACAATGAGGAAGGCCATGGCGCCTGCACAAATAAGAGAGGGGGGGGGGGGGCGCTTAAACTCATGCACAGGTACGGATGTAGATAGAACTCAGCCTAGGCAAGGGAAACTGATATTATCCAAGGGTCTTAACTATCTCAAGAATTGTAGCGACAATGATAGCACGCAGTATCCGTGCCAATGAACCAATCCCAGCTGCGCTGAAAGTGTTTGATAAAGCAGGGTAAATATAACATTCCGATCACTCTGCTGATTTCTGGGATCTCTTGTGGCTCTCTGTCATTACATAGCTGGGGGCCAGAGATTCCACTCGGATTATCTTGGGCGTGAATGGCCTTGCCTCACCGCATACGTTAAAACTCTCCCAAAGTCTCGAGCAACTAGCAACGATGGCCCCGCTCGTCCAGTCTCTCGCGTGTTGATTCCGATCGTCATTACGATGCTGCATTCTGCTGGCTGTGAATACCCACCCCTACACCCCTCCTCCCCTTTTTCACCAGGATCGGCTCCCAGCCTATCCTATGCACGCTGCAGAATCCTTGGAGGGCAGTGAATTATAACTAGATAGGTAAACAGATATATGATGCCTTCAACAGCGGCGATACAGCCCAAGGGCACGGGAGTAACGTGCCTTGGGAAACCCTTGAAAAGGTGAGTCAAGAGCCGGAGCCAACGCCGAAGACCATTGACTTGAGCTATCGGGAGATGTTTTGGGATGAACTTACGTATACAATTATACAATAACTGTGGGCAAATCTACCACTTCTGCTCCACAGAGTAAGTCCTCTTTCGTTTCATCTGCCTCTCCCACGCTAGCATGGCCCACTTCACCATATACTCAGACATCATGAGCTGCTTCGCCGTCGGCCTTTCTTTCCGCTGGTTCAAATGCCATCATAGCCCTCAGCATATCCTCCAGAGCTTTGAGCTCACCACCAGCAACATCCTATTCACAGGCTTCTGGCGTCTCACCCCGGCCCATATCCCACATCCGTTGGTGAAGACGACAGAATACAGGTGTGCCGATGTGCTGGAAGTTGGTGATCCATGAGCCATCTGGGTTGAAGAACTCAGAGCGATTCGTCCAGGAACCCCACCATCGTGCGGGCAGTTGTCCCAAGGTGTTTGACCATCTCGGCAATGATGTGGTTTGGGTCCCATGCAAAGGTTTCAAAGAGAGGCCGTTCGCCCATCGCATCGTAGAGGACGACACCCAGCGTCCATACATCAGCCACGGTGGTGATGCGTTCATTGAAGAATTCTTCTGGCGGGGAATACAGGGTCGGCGTGTGAAGTGTTGGAGACGGAGCTTTTGAAGCAATAAAAGACGTCCCATAGTCCGAGATAATAATCTCAGGATCCATCACCTCGTTCGCAGGCCTGTTCCAATTCATGGGATAGATGATATGCGGTGGCGCATGGGGTGTGCTAGACTTTCCGTCAAGGCGCCGGGTAGGAACCTCATATGGTTTGCCATGGCGCTTGTACAGTTCAGTTGTACATGTACTCAAATTGTCAAAGCCCGGGACACGAAGAAGAAATTTGTCCAGATGGAGATCTGTCTGATTCAGTAATTTTGGATGAGCAATCAGGGGGACAAGGCTGTATTTGACGTACCTTCATGGCATACATCGTTCGCATGCATGTAGTTCAAGACCATGATGGGCTAGGCAGCGGTGGATCCGGCAGCATCTCGTGGAAACATAAAGTTTGTACCGTTCTCCTTCGAATTGGCGATGCTGCAGCCCCGGCAGGCTCTCCCACCATGGGACCATAAAAAGAGAACTGGTCAAGCAAGGTTGGGATAAACCGTCTTCCGAAACAATTCGATGTACCCTTTGCCAATAGACGGAGAATTTCACCCTCATTACTGGCCGGTGAAGCTCCTGTAACAAGTATCTTCAGCGATACATAGCACTGGAGCTGCTGGTCATGGGCGAGCCAGACTGTTGAATAACCACCATATCGCAAAAGCTGTCTCCAATGAGAGTTGGATGGTACCCGCCGGCGTGTATCCTTCCAAATCCTCCACATCTGACTCGGGGTAGGAAATCCTCTCGGCTTCCAAAGACGGTGACTCAGCCGTGGAATGGCAAAGCAGAAATGGATGTCCTGGCTGTCGCATCAGTGGAGATTTATGAGGAAGCCTTTGGTGATGTTTCTGAAAGACAGCGAACCGAGAAAAGGTCCAACCCTGCTAACAGGAGCAAATCTCCAGCCTACCCTCATTGTCTTGTTGATGTGTGAGGTCGATGAGATGTTCAGGTTAGCCGCTGATGGCAGCCAAGAGACAAGACAGCCAATGCTAGTCGAGCAGTGTGAGTACTCCGTTTGAATACCCAATGCCAACATTGCAAATGATAGTGGGAGTTTAGTATGGCCGGTCTCAGAGGATACAAAAGAGACAGACACTTTCACGGGCTCATCAGAGCCATCACTGATGGTGGCAGCTGCTACTTCATGTGTAGCAAGACTATTTATTAATATCTAAGTATTTAGGAGTGACTTCATCACTCCTGAAGTCTGTTTGAACATCTAAGCACCGTTACCTACCACCTACTACATACTGGATAGCAAGCAACCACCTAGGTAGATAGCAACACTCACTATATATGTACTGGCAAGAAGATGAGTTATCCCGTAGGTTATCAGGCAAAGTCATCGTTATCACTGGTGGTGAGTTGAAAAAAACCAACTCCATCCCCTGAGCTCCCCTCATTTTCAACAAAAGACACTTAGCTTACCCTTCAAATCACCAGGAACCGCCGGTGTCGGTAAAGAAGAGATCCTCAAACTCGCCCAGCACAATCCCGCTCATATCTACTTCACGGGCCGCAACGTGCAGGCCGTCAACTCCCTCATCGACGAGGTAAACGCCATTACCACCTCTACTACCACGACCAACGATGGAAAGAGCATACTCACATTCATCCCCTGCGACCAAACCTCCCTCAGCTCCGTCCGTGATGCCACAAAGCTCCTACTCGCCAAATCGCAAAGCCTAATCGACGTCTTAATCTGCAACACGGGCGTCATGGCCATACCCCCGAGATCTAATTTGCCATAAACTACCTCTCCCATGCCCTGCTGGTAAAACACTGTATACCCGCGCTGCAGAACGCACGGGCCAAAAACAAAGGCGCGGCCGTATCGTTGTTACTTCCACGCCTGGGTTTAGGGGCGCGCCGGAGATTGGTTTCGCGGGGCTGAAGAAGATGCAAGGCGGTGTAGGCGGGCCGGCCATGCTGGCCAAAAACACGCTGTACTCGCAGAACAAACTTGCGAATGTCCTGCACGCTGCAGAGCTGGCGAGGCGCTATCCGGAGCTTCCCGTCGCTGCTAGTCATCCGGGAGTGATTGCGTCGACGGAGCTGATGGGGCATATGAATTTCATCGACCGGTTGGTGGTCAAGTTGGCTGTGAGGAATTTTGAGTCCTACAGTTTGCAGGAGGGGGTGTATAATACCCTCTGGGCCGCGATGACGACGACGACGACACAGGCAACAGGGACGGCTGGGCAGGAGGGGGCTTCGTTGGAGTCCGGCGGCCTTTGCGAGGCCGTGGGAAAGCCACTTGCACACACGAAGTTGTCCGTCGATGAAGCTCTTGCGGGGAATGGACGGAGAAGGAAATTGAACGGTACTTGCAGTGATGATGTTTTTGCTGTTTCTTCTTTTCTTCTTCTTCTTCTTCTTCTTCTTCTTCTTCTTCTTCTTCTTCTTCTTTCACTTTGTTAATACGAAAGTAATATGTAGCGCTGCTCTTTTATTTGTTCTATGCCCGGATATGGGATGGGAAATGTGTATAATAGTTAGTTACCTATAAATCAGTATTGATTTTTCTCATATCCCTCTAAATAATGTTAGACAATCTCAAAATGCAGTTACCGCAATTTCCAAAGCACGTGAGTGTGTCTCTAGAAGGTGGGGATGGCGATGGCGGACTCATTACTATTTATCTTGCTGGCTCAGTTTCCATATTGTAATAACGAATCTGACCTTCCACTCATACTCTCAATTTCATGTGTCTTATTATCTCCGTCATCCCGAATAAGGGCTTGCCTCACCCACAACCAAAGAACCGGAATTGAACATATACAGTAAAATTCTGACTCTGGCATTCGAGATATTTCTGAGAACGTAATTAAACCACCAGCGGGGATAAGTAGCAAGATATCCGCTCCCCGATGGTGCAACTGACAATCGCCCAATCAAGTGCCCATAACGTACCCTCACCGTCTTGCGCAATGGGGCGGCGGATGTCGACAGAATAAAAATGGCTATTATTACAGTTAATCGGCAAACCAATTCGTCACCCTCTCTATACTTTGCGTGATGCGTCATCGTTCAGCGCTCGGAAACATGGCGAAAATGACATCGGCGGTTTTCGTCTTCTTCGTCTTCGTATCGTCATTATTTTTTTGCTCCCCGCCCCCACATCTCTCTATCCCAAAAAACGGCAGAAAGGTCAGGTGGGACTCTGAATCTGAAATTCGCGCCGTTTCAGTAGATAGCGTGGGAAGATAGAGTGATTCAGACAATGAAAGTATCAGCAAAAATCCAAAAAACGCAAGGATGAAGAAAATTTCCAAATGATCAGCCAAACTTTGTTGGTTTTCCCCCGCGCGGGTTTTTTGCGACAAGTGATCAGACGGGAGCGATTTGTTCCTCTTATCCCCCTCCCGTCAGACGAGCGGATAAACAATCATTTACTCGACTGAGGCGGGAGGAGAGGTGGGGGAAAAGAACGTATACGGGGAACCCATCAAGGGTTCCGCCTCACCGAGGCAAGTCAAGCGACAGGAAATGAAGAACAATAGGTTCCTTCGTTTCCTAGTTATGATGATACCCATGTTTTTCGCCTAAGCGGGCTCCCGGGCCGGCCGACGATGAGGACTTTTGGTGCGAAAAAGGAATATTCCAGAAAAAGGCGGGGCTGATTGATAGGCGAATTCGCTAGCACGAATGACAGCACAGACCCTGTTGGACGAACGAGCCTTCAAGAGTCTGGAAATGGGCGAACAACAAGAGCCGGTATCCAACCATTTCCCCATGCGGTAAAACGTGTATAATGCATCCTGCGTATCACTCTGGTCAGAAGATGAAGTCCGCTATATACCAGGTCACACGACCGATAATATCCCGTGTGTACGGCGTATGGCATGCATAATAATAATAAGAATAGAGAGCCATGAGCATGGATTTCATTTCTCATTATTATTCCACCTATACCCAGCTGGTAAAAAGGAAAACCACTTTGCTGTGGAAGCAACAAAAAGAAGGATCTGTCCCTCCCACCTGACCACCGGACATAATTCTTGATGTGAAGCGCATTGCGATTGAATTCTGCATATTCAGGCAGGGTGTGGCGACGATCTACTGCATTAATTAGTCCTGATCTGCTGCAAGGCATTCTTGTCAGCAGCGGTAAAATGCAGTGCAACGGGCAACCCTTGGCGTTGGAAGCATCCCTTTTTGTTGGTTGGTCGAAAATATCCTTTACGGAAAAATAAAACTGCAACGAACTCAAGGCAGTAGTCCTGGGCCTGGGATGCTTTCATAGAGAAAATAATATGAAATCCGTTCGAAGGATGGGCTTATTTTCTCGTTGGAGTGGTGACAAAGACATCTTATATTCAACAGATTCTGAATCTGTATCTATATGTCAGCGTTGATTGTAAAATAATGTAAAATCAGTTAAAAAAAAGGTGTGTAAAGAAACAACGAAATACCGGCAACCCGGCATCCCCAACCCCCCGCAATTAACGAGAGAAGAGATCATGGTAGTGGTGGTAGTGGTACGGACTACTATGCTCAAGCGTGTCCTCGACTTGGGTGTGTCGCATTAAATATTACGCGAGGTCATGCCTGCGGCGTTAGGCTGGATGGAGCAACTGCACCACTTATACAACCATTTTCAGTGGGGGGATTTAGGTATGAATAAAATAGTTCAAAAAGGGAACAATTTTCTCAGCGGCTCCGAGGAGAATCGGTAGGTTTCCAGCTCGTAACCCCACGGTGGTGTGGTTGTCAGCTCACAGACCTGTGAAATATCACAACCCACCCCCACCCCCACCACTGATTGCAACTTTTGCCAGTCGGCGGCACAGAGGAGGAATAATAACTTTTAATCATAGTAAATAGTAATAATGAGAATGAAAACGAGAATAAATGAATGAATAGAATTGTTGCATCTGGACAGACTGAGACAGCGAGACGGTGTATTCGGAAACCGTTTTCGGGGAACACTGAACAGTAGCGGTCACCAAGTGGTTGCAACAATGACGTTTCCCCGCCAAGTTCTGTACGGTGTACTATGTACAGTACTCCGATGTCTTGCTTGCTGGTCAGGACCAGATGAGATGGGCGGGTTAGCACCGGAGCCTTCAGGATTCCACCCACTCATTCCTCTCCCCCTTTTTTCATATATATCCATATATTCTTTCTTTAGCCGGTGAAACTTAACGCCGACTGGAGATGGCTGCACCGTCTATGCTGTACTGCCGAGTTGCCGAGTTGCCGGTGTAGAGGGTAAAAAAAAAAAATAAGAAAAATAAATAAATAAAACTGGACGACGGCGGCGGAGTTGGAGCGCTGCTAGGCCAATCATTTCTTGGCAGTGGAAAATCCGAGGAGATCGCCAAGGCGAATATCACACACTAGTTGCTTGGCGGGGTGGAGCGGCGCTGCCCCTGGGGCTTGGCACTGCGCGCACTGCGCACTTTTCCTATGCACGGCGGAAAATCCATTCGTCATTGTTGTTCAACTTTGTCTCGAGGCTCACGCGAGTTAAAATAAGAATAGTGGCTAAATCCGATGCGCCGACGAAACGGATCGCGCCGTCGGTAGTTAGTGATTTGGTGCTGCCCAGGGGCCAGGGGGGGCGTTGCGCGGCGTTGCACATTATGTTTACTTGATTTATGTGCGGCGAAAGCAACAGGTGGGTGTCACCGTGCCTGTGGACCTCCGATCGCTGGCGGTGTGTCTGAGACTGAGAGGGGGGTCGAGGAATTAATTTGGTAGCGCGGGCAGTGGTCCGAGATTATTCTTTCATTAGCTCCGTTTTGCTAACTTGCTCCTGCATTCTTCTTGGATCAAAGTCCTCTTTTTTCTCTCACGTCCGGTTTCAAATAAGAACGGTGACGATGGCTCTGCTGTTTCACACCTCGCATCAATTCCATTTTCTCACCCCAACCCGTTAGAGACTGCTGAAACCCTTCCATATTGTTCTCCCTGTCCAATTTCCAATAGATATATTATCATTACTTACCTCCTTTCGATCACCTCTTCTTCTTAAATGTTTCTCTATTTTCATTGCTTCCATCCTTTTCTTTTATGGCTCCCCGATAGAAGTAATTGTTCAGCTTTCCATTCCACCCCCTCCTCCCCCTTCGCCATTCCCCCACTTGCTGCTGGCAGCATCTCGGCGACGTAAACAAGATAAAAACGAAAAAAAAAAAAAGAAAGAAAGAAAGCAAAAAGGAAAAGAAAACAAACAACCTCAAAAAAAAAGACCAAACTCAGGAAGAGGATAATCTTCTTACCGAACCAACCATGCCTCTTCTCAACGTCAGCGAGTTGAACGTTGTTCTCTCGATCTTGGGTTTGTAGAGACAGCATATCTCTCGATAATATTCCATAGCGACCAACCCATATTCTTTGTAGGAGCATTCATCGTTCTGTATGGCTCCATCTCCACAAAGATCCGAAATGTTTGGTATCTTGGAGAAGCCTGTAAGTGAAGTGTTTCATTTTACACCCGATCAATCACTTTTTTCCTGACGTGGAACGATACATGGCTGCAGTGCCCGCCGTCATATTTGGTATACTTCTTGGGCCCCTCGCAGCAAAGTTCATAGAAGTTGAACACTGGGGCTCAGCAGCAGAAGATCAGAAGTACCAAGTTACTCTAGTAAGTCATCCCAACAGCCATCTAATCCCCCTTCAGACCACAGTCGTTCGCTAAGCCAGAAATTTTCTGAACCACAGGGCGTGGCTCGGGTTGTCATCGGTGTTCAGCTAGTCATTGCGGGTTTCCAGCTGCCTGCTAAATATCAATTAGCGCGATGGAAAGAAATGGCACTCTGTCTACTTCCTATCATGACCATTATGTGGTTATGCACGACGGGGTGTATCCTCTTGACCATCCCAAACCTTACTCTGGTAAATAAAACCCCTCCCCCGAAACTAGGGCCCAACCTCCAGAATCGTAGTTCAGATTGGTTAATAGATTGTCGTTTTTAGCTAGCTGCTCTCGTTATCGGATCTTGTGTCACTTGCACGGACCCTATTCTGTCGCAGGCCATTGCTAAAGGACCATTTGCCGACAAATACGTTGATCGGGACTTACGTGAGATTATCTCTTCCGAGGCTGGAGCTAACGATGGCTTCGGCTTCCCATTTCTCATGTTGGCGACGTATCTCATCCGATACGCGGACGTTCCCGGGGCTGGGGAGAACATAATTCACAAGAGAAGCGGGGAAATCGGTCGTCTCGGCGGCGGTGTCTGCAAAGCCATTGGAATGTGGTTTCTGGAAACATGGCTCTACACAGTTCTAATGAGCGTTGTATATGGCGCTATATGCGGCTACGGCAGCTGTTTAATTATGAAATTTTGCCTGAGAAAGTGAGTTCTTAATATTTCAAGGGGGAAGAAGAGCGAGCATGTGTTATCCCACGGGTTGCTTACTCACATTTATTAGGAAATTGATCGATAACGAAAGTTTTATGCTATGGCCGTGCGCGTTAGGGGTAAGTTCTAAGAACCAGTTACCCGCCGAATATCTGAAAATGCTCGATACTAACTAGTATGCAGCTTTTCATCCTCGGAACATGCGGCGCTTTGGGCACTGACGATCTCCTGGCTTGTTTCGTTGCCGGAAATGCATTGAACTGGGATGGCGAATACCTCGCCGAGTCCGAAACGAGACATGACGAGGTGAACTCATGTATAGATGTACTGCTGAACTTCGGTGGATTCATGTACATTGGAGCAATCATACCGTGGTCTGAATTTAATCAGCCTGAGTTTGGAATTACATACCCGCGACTAGTTGGATTGGGATTCCTCGTGCTGTTTCTCCGTCGCCTTCCCGCGATCTTGGTGCTGTACAAGCTCATGCCGAAGGTGTGCAAGAACTGGAAGGAGGCCTTGTTCATGGGATATTATGGTCCAATCGGTGAGTGAGAAACCGCAGATTAAAACCCAACAAAGGGCACGGTAGTAAGTTTTGTTGTTACCCTTTTCTCTGCTAACCCTGAATGCTTGAATAGGAGTCGGTGCGGTTTTCTATCTCGAACATGCCCGTCACCTTTTTCCCAAATTCGGAGAAGGAGATCTCGAAGAGACTAATCTCATCCGTGCTCTGTCCCCTGGTGAGTATTGCTCCAAATTTCCCATCGTTGCGTAAGCACGAAAGCAATTTTTCTAATCTAAACGCCAAAAAAGTTGTATACTGGCTGGTCTTATTCTCGATTGTTGTCCACGGCATCTCAATCCCAGTCCACAACGTCATCTACAAGATTGCAGGCATCAACCCAATAGTAGATAAAGCTGGGCCAGTAGAGATAACGCCACCTTCGAGACGGATGTCGTTGCCGAAAAATAGCATGTCGAACAAGAAGCGGAATTCGATTACTGTGTACAACAGGTTCTCACGTGGCAATCCGGCGGAGGGTCAGAGCAGCAACTGGGAGCTACCAACCTCTCACGGTAGCCGAGTTAGGGACGACCAAGGAGAACAGATCGAGTTCCAGTCAGCCTATTCAAGGCCACAGCCGTGGTCACGGAAGACCAGCATCCACTTTGATGTTGGCGGAGGGGAATCAGTGTGATTGTAATAGGGAGTGAGATGCTAGAGACGGCGCATCTGTGGGGGTTATGTAGGAATCAGAGGTCGCATTGGAAGAGAGGTAGAAGCTGCCAAAGTCGATGGAGAGTAGCTTGGATCACTGGGTTGACGGCAGACGACAAGAATGGGTGCAGCGGTAGTGATGGGCGGAATTGGGACAGGGTTGAGCGTGAGAGGAATGTAGATACGGAGATCTCACGCAACTATACTATCTGCTCCCTCGCGCCGCTGCTCTTGGTGGTGTAAGAAGAGAATCTTCGTGCGAGAGTTATCTGCGTCCCATATGTGCCTGTTCATGTATATAGTTCCACTTATGGTTTTGCACTGCTCCGCTGCTTATTTTTCCTTTCATGCTCCCTTAATTATCTCCGTGTGTGGCTGCTGCTGCTGCTGCTGCTTTTGGTAGTGTTAGAAGAAGGTCCCTTTGCAAGAGTGATAGATGTCCCATAGATGTCCCATGTGTTTCTGTATAGAGTTTAATATACTGTTTCGCACTGCGGTTCCACTGCTTTACCTTCACTGCCCTCTCTTATTGTCTCCTTGCGTAGCCACACGAGAGAGGGCCTTCTTCAGTGCTTCCGTGTCGGCGCTGTTATTATTATTATTGCTGGAGACGAGAGGTCAGGCCAAACATCACAGAGACACGGATGGAAAATGAGGGATGAAGAAGAAAAAAAAAAAAAAATGCCTCATACAACGGTGGAATATGTTGTTAGTAGTGGCAGATGCTATTCCACATGCGATATAGCTAGCTGCTGGCTCATGGAGAAAATAGCTTGATCACTCTCCCCGCACTGGCAGTTTTGTATTTGGTTGAGACTCCTGAAACTTCTTTGCAAGCACCTTCATCTGAGTACGCTCTGGCATGGGTTCTTGGGCTTAAAGGAGGTTGTTGAGTAAACTGACTTATTATTAGCTATAGCGGACTGTCACGATGGAGGTTGGTTTGGCTCCCACGAACCCCCCAGCAACAATAAATACATTATATAGCATCACATTTCCAAGTCTTATTCTTCTCTTCACTTGCTTGTGAGGTATACGGTATATTACTCAAGAAATCTCCAGAATTTACGACCCCTGAGCGGGTCTGCCATGGATCTATAAGCATATGAGCTGATCCTGATTCTAAGAATACCAGATGGCGTCCATGTATTCAGTCGCCAATGCCACTGGAGTAAAGAGGGGACGAATTACCCAATCCAATCCCTCCAACAGGTTTATATCAGAAGCTCCATGGTTGAGGTCCAGGAAAATGGTTTCCCCGGTTAAAAAAGAAAAAAGAAAACTTTCCTAGATTATTATCCTATAACTACCAATCAATCAATCGTTCCTCATGTTATGCTCATGCTTCTTCTGGTATTCATCTGTATACATCATCTTCCACCACCAACACTCAACTCCCTCATCCCCTTGCTCTGGCGCCACGTAGTTGTACTGTACAAAAGTATGATGAATGCGCGCATTGCTCCAGTCTCCGTCTCATAATTCTTCCACCAAATGCTGTGGCAGAAGCTGCTGATGCGGCTCTTGTCATCAAGGCCGCCTCTTCCTCAATCAATCATGCAAGTAAGTAATCTTTTCACGAGAGAAAGCCACCGCAGCCAGCAATGGCCAGCCACCTTTCTCGTTCGCCAAAATCCCGGGAGATATGGCGCGCTCTAGGCTGTCAGTCGAACTTCTAAAAATGGGGCATGACTCAGCTGACAAGCGCCTAACGATCAGGATGGAAGTAGTGAACTGATGCTGTCCAGCGATGTTTGGATCTTGATCTGTCGTTTAAACAAGACAACCAATAAATAGCCACCGTTGTTCGTGGCATCTTTCGGGAGAAGTTTATGTAGGCCGAGAGTTTGTCCAACACGGGGTTGAGTCCCAATCGCAGATTCACATAGTCACCGCGGACAATATTCCTCACTCACGGGCAATAGCACAGTTTTATTTCATTTTACTATTTGCGGTAGAAAGTCTGCGAAGGAAGATTAGCCACATTCCATGTTTGTTAGTTACATCGGTGATTCGAAAATAAAATGAGGGAGCTAGTTAGCTGAATGAATGTCTATTATTACTACTCTCACCTAATTCCGATTTTTCTACTCCGTACGGAGTACGGAGTAGTTTATCTGTTGATGTTGGTGCTTAATAAAAAGTAACAACATCAAGGGGGGGTGTGAAGAGTAATTATCCTCCTGTAGTTAGTGTACTGCGTACATCGCGAGGGGCAAGGATTGCTCAACCGCCTGGCGAAAATCACTTTTATTTCCTGACGTCAATCAATAAATTTAGAGCTACCCTGATGAGATAACTAGATCTCGTCGGCTTCAACGACAGTTACTAGTGAATGAGATTGGAGGGTGTGTACGGAGTAGTTAGACTTCCTTTTTCTCCAACTCCAGCACGCGAGGAGTCGAGTTTTTCATAAATAGCAACCTTGTGTTAAATCAATAATACGCTGTAATGGCAGTCCAGCGGCGTCCACTCTTAACTCGACTGGCGCAGTCTAGATAGTCTAGATCCAGCCATCCTACGCTACGAACAATGCGAACAATGCGAACAAGGCTCTCAAGAGGCTTCCCAACATGCATCTCGTCCGATCATGATTATTCTCCCCTATAACTCTCTGAAGAAAAGGACAGGAAGGGTCAAAAGAGATTCTCAAATCGTCGTATTTCCCAAAGCCGCGATTGCCAATGTTTGTTATCCAAAATGGCCTTCATCCTTGCTGATTTATATTAAGCAAAATGTCCATGGATCCATCGCTCCACGCTTCGATGGGACCTTTACAGCCCCTTTGCACTGTCGCAGAAATTCATCGAAACATGAGTGGGTAGCAGTTAGTCCTTGCTGGTAGCCTGTCGGTAGGCCCTCCGCCCGCTAGTTCACCCTGAACTGACATCTAACTTTATCTTCAGGTCCAGTAATACGCCGCGTAATTCGCTGGGGAAGGGCGCAGCGACCAGTCATCCCCTGGAAGGTTTGAACCCTTATTAGTTACATCTTCAAAAAAGTGCAAAGGGGTGATATTATTCTTGGGATACCGGTGGCCTTCTAGGTCGGCGACTTTCTTGTGTGAGGTTGTATCCATAATAATAATAATCGCCACGCTACAGAGGCGAGCCGAATGTCTTTGCATCTTGACGGCGACTATCCCGCACAGAGAAATGCCAAAAACAGCAGAAATGCTTGAGAAAGAAAAGAGTTCCAATGGTCTGTCCGTGCTGGACCCTTGGCTTGATGGCTGATCCGTATTTCGCGACAGGCCAACCAGGGCGACGATGTAAGACGACAATAATAATAATAATAATAATAATAATAATAATGTGCAGGGGAGGACAGGACAGGCGAGAGGAGGCTATTCCTCTCCTATCTTGTTGGATATTTCTCTTCTTCTTCTCCTTCTCTTCCTCTTTCTCTTCTCCCTCGTCCGCTCTGACAATACTTAAATTCTTCGCTTCTGCACTCGTTTGGCAAATTCCGCTCCTTTTTTCTTCAACTGCTGCCAATTAACATATTCGCTATATTCTCTCCTTCATCAATACTTTGATTTCTTTCTTATATATATTGTTCTTTTTTGAAAAGAAAAAAAAACCCCCAGCGAAAATGCATCTGATGAAATCTCTTCTTGCCAGCGCGCTTCTGGTCGCTGCTGCTGTTGCCCAAAAGATTTCTTTCACCAGCTTCCCCGAGGATGTCCAGGCTGGCGAGCCTGTGACTGTCACCTGGACCGGTGGTAGTGACGAGGTACTTCCAGAGGCCCCTTTGCTTGATCCAAGATATCAATTGCTAACCGTGTCTACTTTCTAGCCTGTCACCATCACGCTAATGAAGGGCCTCAGTAAGGACCTGCAAGAGGTCGAGACCTTGACCAGTAAGTTCACCCCAGCTTTGTAGCAATCCCTAATCAAATCGCATTCTAGTACATGTACTTACCTTACTCTCAACCTACAGCCTCCGGACAAGACGGTACCTTCACATGGACCCCTGAATCTGACATCGTCAATGGCGACGACTATGCTCTCCGAATCAGCCAGGGTGACGAAGTCAACTACACCAACCTGTTCGACGTCAGCGGCGGCTCTGGCAAGGAGGAGACACCCTCTCCAACCGTTACCACTCCTCCCCCCACCGTTACTGGCACTTCCTCCCCAAGCTCTGGCCCCAGCAACTCTAGGAACAGCACCAGCAGCGAAGCAACCACCATCACCACTGGCGTGACTGTTACTCCCACAGGTCCCACAACTGCTCCTCCCACTCCAACTCCTAGCGAACCTTCTGCCGCCTCCATTATGGCCGTGTCCAGCCCCTTCGCATTGATTATGGGTGTGTTGGTCGCATTTGTCTACTTGCATTAAATTACATTTGATGTATTTTGAAACCATCTAAATTTTTTTCTCCTCTACTTCGATTGTCGAAGATATATTTAAGCTTCTTTGGGCTTCGGTTCTTTTCTTCTTCTATTTTGTCCACTGCAAACTCCATCTTCTACTGGAGCTCGTGATATCATACCCTGTCTTTCTGTTGTCTTTTTTTATTTATTTTTTATTTTTTATTTTTTTCTCTTCTATAGACAACACTCGACCCGATCTATTCGTCATAATAATGTTGTGTCGCTCTATTGACTTACCTACAAACACATCTTTACACATGCTGCGCATCTTCACACACAGTCGCATGCGACTTCTTGTCCGACCACCTAGGACGGAAATGGGAGCGGGATCAGTTAAAACAGGAAGAAGGGAAATGATGTAGGGGTGTTGCTCTCGAAAGCTTGGAGAGGGCAGGGAGGGATGAAAGCCGGCATGGCTCGCCTTGAGTGCCGCCCAGAAGCTCCGTATGGAGATTATCCTTTTGTGCTTCGTCTTCTATTGATTTAGAGTTGGAGTCTTGTATCTTTCTTGATAATGAAAAGGGCAGTGTTCTGTTTTTCTCATTCTTTGCCTCTCTTTTTTTCTTTCGTAAGTAATTAGAAAAATAGCATTCTGCAACCGGCCTCCGTCCCTAGTATGTAACTACTACATTGCCACAGATGTACCTCTCTATTCCAGGCTACATCCATGTATTGACGGATTAGGGGACCTTACCTGTGCAGCACGGGCTGATGTATTCGAAGCTGTACAAGCTGCTCCATATTCCACCACCTGGCTAGACTGGCAGAGGGCGGAGAATCCATACCTCTGCGACAGTAGTACGGAATTGCTCATCTCACCCTATAGGCACAGTTACAGGTACAGCTCACTCTTTCTTCCCCTCATACTAGTCGCACTAACTAGTAACTTAATGTATATAAAAGGTTAAAGTCTAGCAGTTCGAATAGTTTTTCATGCGTGCCCTTTCTCAGCAGTGAAATAAATATCGTGCATTCTGATAGACGCCCGTGAACTGTGTTCAACTGCTGGCAGCCAGTAATATATGTGGTGAATGTTGCTCGAGAGTTGTAGATAACTAATCTACTGAAAACATACAGATGTAGGTTGATCTTGAAACCATGGGAGAGATGATGCTAGAGACTCTAACCATTAAATATGAAGGTTCGTTCCTGATCAAGAAACCAAGTTCCATCGAAACTCAATTAGAGTAAAGATCTGGTTTTGTTTTCCTTTCTGCCCCAAATTTCTGGGGAGAGAGACTGTCTGTCCACCGAATGGGATGCAGCAGGGGATGCAGCAGAGGATGCTGACATCACCAGGTGGATGAATGAGGTGTCAAAATCTGCAATTTCTTCTCATCCCGCAACAACCTTCATGGATTCCTTCATACAAGAGATAGTCAGTCCATCATTATTCTTATACCTGTTTGTTTAAATTGTTATGGGGCCTGATTCCATGCTGGCTTCCGCAGTTATTCAATCCTTTCCCTTATCCCAGCTTAAATCTCATTCCTTTTTCTTTTGCCTCTAGAGCTTGGCTAAAACGCTGCAGCCGGTAACTATTGGGTTGGGCATCTGCAGATCTGTGTCGCTCTCTCTCTTTAATCCTCCATTTGTTCATTTTTATCCCATCATATAGATATACTGTTTAACTTATTACTTTCATTCACATCTGCAGAATTGTGTTTGTGTCTCTGTGTATCTCTTCCGCATCCTGGTATACCTTTTCTCTCATCTCCAATCAGCCGCAACCTGGCATTCCTTTTCTCTCATTCATCAGATTTACAATGTCTCGACGATGAAGAAACAGAAACAGCACAACACACCACAGTCAGATCTCCTCCAGGTGCAGAAAGTGAGCTTGAATTCATTTGGCAGTATGTTGAAAACATCCTTCCCCATTATCCAAGCCCCGCATCCAGCATCTGCAGCAGGAGCAGCACTCCACTCTCTAGCCTACCTGTCGCGCCTCCTATGCCCTTCCCGTTTCTCCCGTTGTACATACAAAGAAAAAAGGAAAATAAAGGAAGAGGGGGGACAAAAGGGATGAAAGGGAGGAAGAGGAAGAGAAAAACATCCCCTCCAACAAGAAAAATGCGAGGCGCGATAGAGCGCGTCAGACTTGTCAAGACCAAATTCAGCTTCTGCCGGGTCTCCGATGCTAATCATTCTCCTCCGCCATCCGTGGTGGTGGAACAACTAGCTGCAGAGCCCCCCCAGGTGCACCTTGCCGATGTCGAAACCCGTCTCAACATGCATCAGTTCAATGGTCTCTTCGAATCCTCTACTCCCGAACGCCAACAGCAACAGCAGCAGCAGCAACAGCAGCAGCTCCATTATCCCGCTCAGAACGGGAGTGGGTCCGATGAAAACTCACATGGTGCGCCTAAATACCTAAATATCGGCTTCGTGTAATTTATATTATACCAAAGCCATGTTACGTATATTAACGAAATGCCTATAAAATCGGCTGCTAACATATTTTCCCAACATGATCGATAGTTCCTTCTACAACCCGAAACCCTCCTGCCACCGCCGCAATGTCCAATGGAGACTCTCCGCCTGCCCCCGAATGGTCATCTGCCGTAGGACACGCGATGACCGGGAAGTCCGGCCGAGTCATTCACAATTTACAGGAAGATATAGCACGCCTGACGCGCGAATGCAGTTTACATCGGTCCCGCGCAGAAGAGGCGCAACGCATAAACGAGACGCTCAAGCTCCAGCTACAAAACGTGACGGACCGTCTGCGTAATTCCGAGCAATCACACGAGGCGCATCTTATCTCGATAGCGCGCAAGGATAGGAAAATCGAAGACCTGAAAGCGGAGGTACAAGCGGAGAAAGATAGGCGGCTGAAGGCGGAGGAGGATGCGCGGAGAACAAACCAGCTAGCCGCTGAGGAGCGAGATGAAAGCCACCGTGCAATCGCTGAGGCTACGGAGATCGCCAGCCAGGCGCGCAATCAATATGAAACGCTGTCCCATGCGCGATCGAGGGAGCAAAGCGAGTTTAGAACGCGTGTCGATGGTTTCCGCGCAGAGCTGAAGGAGTTATGCAATCGGGAAATAGAGAGGCAGAATCAGCTCACGCGCTTCGATGTGATCATTGAGCAGAAGAATAAGGAGATTGAGGCGGAGAGGGATCGGATGGAGCGGTTTGGACGACTGTTTGCGGAATATAAGGAGGCCAGCGACCGTGCGGTACATGAGCTGGTGGAGAGGAGCCGGAAGAATAACGCTGCGATTGATGATGTGGTTGACCAGGCGAAGGAAGTTACGGGGAGGATGAGGTGGGTTATGAAGGTCAAAGACGAGGTTAAGGGAGCGGAATGACGGTAGACATGGATACGGAAAACCTGATCGGATTTGCCGAGGATACCCGCTTCCTGTCGTCCTTCTGATTATCTCTTTTTTCCCTTCTTCCTTCGAGATACTGTATGATGTACGAAGCGAAGGCGATTCGATTCGATGTTTAGGGATACACCACAAAGGCCGAGCCTGTTCCGGATTCTCCCAAGCTCATATAGAGGAAACGGATTCGGGATGTTGCCGGTCTTATATATGCCTTTTCGTTTCGTCCTCAGAGGTTACACTCCATTTTCCAATGCGCATGAAAAGAAACCTGCCCATCACATGATTTCGACGCACGACTGGCTGAACGCATGTTTCCACCCACATATACCCAGAATCTTCAAAATAGCGACCCCGACCCCGACCCCGTTTCACGCATATATCCCAGAACTCATTCCAATTTACGACCATATTTTATTTCCTCATCTCTTTACCTCTGATCTTGTGTACAGAGTCCCATTTACATATACGCAGCAGCAAGCGCGACCAATTTAACGACTAAATTCCTTACCATACATACATATACGGACAAACATACTTACATACCACATTGCGCATACATACACATACCAAAAGGCCTGCGGAAAAGCATTTACAGCCCCCTAAAATAGGACAGGTATACGGCGGTTTTATCCTCTTTTTTTTTTTTTCCCTTGTCGGATTTTTACCATCTACAGCCGCAGTTTTACAGGGTTACAAAGCCAACAAAAGGATCATAAAGGCAAGGAGGGAAATCTCAACTACATTTTCATGCCCTTTTACCTTTTCTTTTTTCTTTCTTTCTTTATTCCATTCTAAAGAAGTGACGAATTCCTTCCTCTATTTCTCCTGTAATCCCTTTTAATTCTTCTCTTCTTTTCGTTCCCTTCGGGCTCCCGTTCACTTTTGTCTCATTCCACTATTCTACTGCCCTGTTGTTTGCTGATACAATATATTTTAATTACTCTTCGCTTCGTTTTTACTGGGCCTCTTTCATTGCTATCTAAGACGGGACGGTGTTTGCTGGTTTTTCCCTTTCTCCAACACTCTTAAAGGGAGCTTTTTTATTGATGAAATATATACTGATTGATAAATACACATACCCTGGTTTTTAAAAATAGCATGCAGCAAATGAGAATAAGGGAGGTGAGTGAGAGCATGCTGAATGCACCAACTCTAGCATGGTACCTGTGCCTGCAGGATACATATTGCATTTTCTCTCTTTAGCGCAGCTTTTAAAAGCCCTACAGCAGTTATGCCAATGCAGATACCCATAGGCCTATCTTACTGGCTTCAGGTGAGAAGGGAGAGAGGAAGGATACACAATGAGCTGTATGGAAATATGGAAATCGGGAATCTCTCTCATCACCATAGTGACTGACCATCTCAAGCATTCTTTGATTAACTAATGTTTTAACACAACTTCACAGTAAGAGGATAGCAGCTCTCTATGATTTTCTCACACTGAAGATATCATTCATACTAATTCTCTAGAGTATAAAGAGAGAGCGTGCTGTTATGGTCAAGCTCTAGTGTTGCCTTGTTAGTAGAAACACGCAGCCAAAAGAGGAAATAGCAGATCAACAACTAACTGGGTATCTGCTATTTGATTCTCTCGGCCTCTTTTCTTCTTCTTTCTTCTCTTCTTCTTCTCCTTCTTCTGTATCACTGTCAACCTCTTTTTCATCAGCTTTTTCATCTGTCCTTGAGATCAACTTTGCCTGGTAGAGAGTGGCGCAGGCTAAAAAGGGGGGGAAGAGAGAGAGAAAAAGAAGAAAAAGCATCTTTTGCCGTCCGCTACGGTCTGATACCAAGTATGTGACACCTACTGCTAACTCTCACTGCTTGCTGTCTTTGATTTTTCATGCTGCACTCGTCACTATTCTCTGTCCTCCCTATCCCTATCATTCCGTTGACTGCTCTTCTCTTTGGCCTGTCAGTTCGTCTGGCGGTCCGTAAATCGGTTTTCGCGGAGGCATATATCAGCCAATACCACGGTCAACGGGCAAGAAAGTGCCCCTGGAATTTCACTATCTCCTTGTTGAACGATCTTGATTTATCCAAGGCTCGAAGGCCCCCGTTGCCAGTCCTTTCAAGCAAGTTGCATAAGAGTTCTTATTTTGCTAAACCCAGTCTCTCACTGGTGAACCGCGTCCGCTTTCACCTGTATAAATTAAAAAGGCACGGCCACTGATAGAACAGGCGTGATCGGTGAAAGGTTAGATGCGTTGGTGAATCGGCCCTATCTGTACCCATCCATATTCGTTTGTTTCGTCCCCAATTTATCCGGCTTTTCTCTGCTTTTACGCTATTTGTTGATCGACTTGTTCTTGATACTATTTCTCCTAATCGAGATCTGACTCGCTGGCAGCTCTTCTCCTCACATCTGCGGAAACTATTTCATTGCCTTTCGTTTCGAAGCGGCATCGTGTGCATTTGGGATAACTGCCCCAGATTCTGGCTCTGTGGTAACCCCCTTGTGGCTCAGATATCGGTAAACTTGGATATATTGAAAGTCCAAAGCTACACCTCAAAATGGAAGGTCCACAGACCTTGACTGTGGCCTCCACTTGGAAATTTGACAACGACGCGGTGAGTTTGCAGGATTTGTACAAGGTTTCGAACAGGACAGGGCTGATATCTTATACATTGCAGGCTGGACATATTAGAAGACTCTTCAAGTTCGTTCATGATCACCCGATTTTTATAATCTCTTTCTGGCAATACTAATTCGGATCGCGTTTTAAGGGCAACCTCCGCAGCTGGTGTTGGTTTCTGCAAATATGAGCCTGTTAATAACGTGAGTAAAGGACATTACGTATCCAAACGGTAACAAAGGCATATTTTCGTCGGCTAAATATAGGCTTATGATATAGGTCTTCGTTGTGGACAACTGTGATGTTATGGGATCGGCGTCAGAGCTGAGCATTTTGGTGGCCAAGTATATTGACGCCGAGAAGGATAACGACAGGATAGAGGTATGAACATCAAACACTGCTATGAGTGTAGTTCCATACATGCAACTCTTAGTAATTTCATGTTATCATAAAGATTCCGAAGGTGTCCCGCCTAGGGCCACTAAATGCTCCTTATGAAATTCCATATGAGGACGATATAATCGAGGAAGCGGAAGGGGCTTTGATCAATTTCTCTCGAGGTAGTGAGAGCACTAAAATTCCGATTACCACGAAGTACTGGAAGTCCAACTTGGGGACTACTGGTGGCTTTGAGAAGCTGCGATACGCCATCGACGAAGTGTCCAGGCTATCTGGAGCAGATATCGTCCTCGAAGAGGCGAATGACAGAATCCGTGTGTTCAGTTACTTGGATAGTAGCATCGTTGACGATGCAATGAGCCGGCTTTCCAATTTGCACCCGTGCCTAGTATGTCCTCTTTGTTTATAATTCTCGATTTGGCTTATGCCATGTTGAATATGTTATTGTTGAACTCCTTTCGTTGTCAGGTTTGGGAGATCCTCTGTTTTGGTTTCTTTGCTTCACCCTCATCATTTGTTTACACTCCATTTTATTCCATATATGACCACTTCCTAGGGCGGCATCGATGCTAACAGACGTTAGTCTCTTTCAATTACGCCTCAAGTCTCACCTATTTTAAATGTGCCCCCAGAGACGGGATATCACGTCAAACTCTCGCCATATGCAGATTTGCATAGAAACGCAGTTCGTCGCATTCTCGTCGACCCGGAAAGGAAAGATATCGGTCAACTTTCCAAGATGTTTGTCACCGTGATTGTGGGAAGAGATTCGGAAAGTCACGACAACCAGGTTCCTATCAACCTCAGGAAGCCACCCCGTCCAACGGAGCCCAAGAAAGGACGGTCCAAGCTCTGGGCTGATTTCAAATTTCAGGGTCTGGGGGACGCGTCAAATGCCCCTCGGTTTGGGGACAGCGTCCCTGAGGAGGCGGATCCTGTTCAGCAGAGTCAACTAAGAGCGTTGCCAACTGCTCCGCCAGGGGGTGCCCTGGTTGGCAAGCATCGTTTCCTGACTCCGGAAAAGGCTTCGTTTGTCGATAACTGGGCCACAGAAGTTGAGGCTGGAGCAGTGGGACCAAACGTCTCGGAACCTAACGGCACGCCGCCTCCAAACCCTCATACAGAGCCTGCTCAGTCAGTTCTGCCTCCGGGAATTAAAAGGCGCAAAGCTGTCATCATCGATACAGGAGAGGGTATTTGCGCGCCCATCGAAGACTCGAAGCCTCTTCCGTCAGCTGAGGCCTCTACAGCGGGCCACGTCAGAAGTGCAACCAACGAAGATGGTGCTGCCCAACCGGACCCTCGGCTGCCTGTGAATTTTATTCCCGTCGCGTACGGACAACCAGATTGCTTTTCCGCTGAGAACAGCTGTCTGAGAAAGACCTCGTGCCTGGAGCCCACAGAACAGGGCGAGCCAACCCGACTTGTTGATTTAGAGGATACCTCGCCAGTGGCAAGTGCAGTGATACCACCAATATCGTACATGCCAGTTCCCCTAGCACTCACAGAGGCGGCGAGGTTAGGTTCGACGATTGGAGAATGGCATTCTGAACATGCAAAAGAGAATAAAACTTGCCGCAGCAATGGGCCCACAAATGAGCCACTTGTTGGAAACGCTCCTAGAATCCGCGAGCCTGAGCCTCGAGTTTTCCATCGGATCATGGGCCAGAAGGCTGGGAAGAATGCCCGAACGGGAGAGGATCGAAAAGATAAAGCCGAAAATCGGGAAAATTTTGCTGATGTTCCATCCGCACCTTCGATTCTCTCAAGAACATCGACTTCTTGTTCTTCTAGTTTCTCTAGAAAATCTATCCAGTTAAGCGGATGGAAGAAGGCGCAACAGGCGAAAGAGGATGAAAAACGTGGGGTCGCACTCAATGAGTTCCTCCGGCACGTTAGCCTCATTCTAAATGGAGTCCGATGCTTCCCAGGAACTGTTTCATTTGAAATTCAGCTGGGACTTGTACTTGCAAGTCGATCGCTCATCGAACAGTCAAAGGAAGTGCCCTTAGATCTCAAGGCCTGGAACAGCCTCTTTCAGCCCAAGAATAACCTCCCTAAGCCCAGCACCATTTTCACAAACATGCTCACAACCTCTGGCGCTGACGTCGATTATATACTCGACTTACCTGATAGCCAGGATGGTTCCACATGCCAAATGTTTTCAGAGGAAGTTGTCAGTCGTCGTGTTTGGTACGAATTTCACTGCACAACCAAAAATGACGAGACTTTGGTGGTCACTGTCGATGAATCTGGGACAGCGGCTGTGAATAGGCCGGAATCCGTGTTGGGTGCGGTCAATGTCCACTGCGCAGCGCAAACCTGGGATATGAGGGGCGTGGTGAAAGGCGCCGTCGAATACATTCGAGGAGACGAGGAAATAGACCAAGCAATCCAAAATCTCATCGGCAAAATGTATATCGAGCCCGGCCTGTCCGAAATCGTAATTTTCACTCGAATTCCGGAAGGGGGCCAACTGAATATCACAAAAGTTCTCATGAAGCGTTCCACGCGCCATCGCTTCCACCGGCATAAGACAGGACCCTTGCAAGTAAGCACTGCAAGGAAATCCGGCATCCACGACAGGATTCATTCTCTTCTTAATGATCAAGGGAGCGGATCTGCTGGTAGTGCTAACGGCAATACGACACCGTTTGGGAATGAGGAAACGTTTCTCCAGATCACTGAAGTCCAGAATCTTTTTTTGGGGTATTCTGGTGATGATATGATGGCCGTGCGTGCGCGGGCAAAATCAGCTGATAAGATGGTAGACGATCACAGGTTATGGTATGAGATATCTGTTATGAACCCAACAATCGAAGAGATCTTGCACTCCAATAAATATCTCGAATTTGGCGACACTGTCACTTCCTGGTCCGTCTTCAAACCACCACCTGCAAAAAATGGAAAGCGATCCACCAATGCTATCACCGCTGCCAAAACTTCCGAGACCAGCATAGCAAATTCGAAACTTCCAGAACAACCCACTTCAGAAATCAGCTCCAAGGACGTGAGCGAAATGTTCCACGCCGCGAACAAGATTGTTCAAAAGATCGACGATGTTGGACGGGACAACTACGGCCCTGAGGCCCAAGCAGGACTGAAGGTAGATCAAACCATTACTGTCCCATCAGTGGCTACAGCTGAAGTGCCGACAAGCTTTTGGTAGGTGAGAAGCTTTTGCCGTGCACCTCATAGATGGTGGTGGGTGTGAGTGCTTGGAAGGGATTCCCAGGGTGGGGGGGTACCTTATATGAATAAATCTGTTCTTTGCATTTGTAATTTGTTGAGGTCCTTGCATCCCAACCAGAGCCAGGCACAGCGTGGAGAGGTTAGGGGCGGCGACAGGCAGTCGTTTTTTGGGCTTTTCCATGGAGGAGTGATGCATTAATTATTCTCATACTTGTAAATACGCAGTCTATAGTGACAAATGTGTCAAATGGGTATTTTATACTAGTGTTACAAT